ACTGTTCGGCAGTTCGGCTGTAGCATTGCTCTTTTTCTTCTTTTTCTTGGACTTTTTAGAACTTGTAGTCGCCCCTTGCGCAAAGCCATTCTCGTGGGTATTCGAAGTCCGCGAATCTCTGCGGTCATTGAACTCTTCTGGATGTTCATCTTGGCTGTCGTCGTGATCGGCTTCTGTGGATTGCTGCGCATTCGACGGCGAAGGGCTCGGAAAGCCATTCGAGGGTGCTGAGTTGGCTATGCCTTGCGTGGCAGCCGCCTTTGCCGCAGCTTTTTGACGCCGCTTTGCCTTCTTTTTATTGACAGGTTGCACCTGTCCCTCCACCTGACCTTGCCCATGACCTTGTGTATGCGAGGTAGATGCCGATTGTGGACCGGGAGCAGCATTCGCAGCGGTGGTGATCGTCGGGGACGGCTGGGCCGAGTCGGCTGGGGTTGACCCCTTGGGAACCGTGATGAACTTGGACCCATCTTTGTTTGTGTATTTTGCCGTGGCCTTGGAGGTGGGCGACTGCGGGGCTGGGGGCGGCGGTGGCACCGAAGGGTGACGACTGTTGCCCTTCATGGTTTACTCTGGTATCAAGAATGAACGACGCGAGCAGGTTCGAGGATCGGGCACATGCAATATCGTGCGACGGTATCGGAGGGGCAAGGGATCCGGCCGAGAACTAAGATGAGGGCAAAGTAAGCTCCAAGCTGAGAGAGATGTGAGGCGGGTGGGCCACGGGCACCACAGGTCGGATAATCGGGTGGGTAACGAGATGACTGAGTGGGATGATGATATGCAGTGTATGAAGACGTGAAGCCAAGCACGTAGCTCGCGGGAATAGAGCAACGGCAGTTCGACGCTGTCACTGTCGTGGTGGTGGGAAAAGAATGGAATGTAAAAGCGAGTCCTTGGTTCAAGCTCGAGGCAGAGTGGACTGGTTGGTGTGACTAGGTGCTGGGAGGGGTTGATGTACCACCACTAGCTCGAGTAGCAATGAGGTACCTCGCTGTCGCAGTCTTGGCCGGCAAAGGCGCGAAGGGAGGCTCGTGGGAAAGAGGGAGTACAGATTGGTGCAGATGACGCCAGCACGGTAGCTGAGGCAGGTGCATAGGTAGAGAGGTAGGTATGATGCGACCTGAGAGATCAGCGACTTGGGGACCAGGCGAAACTCACCTAAGAGAGAGGTAATGGAAGGGTGATGATTAATTAACGACAGGCACGGGGCAGCCCGCTACTAGGAGCAGAAAGCGCGCGTTTAGATAAAAGAACCGGCAGCGCAGTGGCGTCGGGATAGGATAAGGTACCTGTAGTCCGGGTGCCAGGGGAAAGAGGGACAGCCTCGTCCGTCAAGATCATGAACAAGCTGGAGGCTGGAGGAAGGCGACCAAGAGGAAGTGGAGGTTACAAGAGGTACTTGTCGTTGTTAGGACAAGGCAAGGTCAGGTCAGGTAGATTGAAGGCAGCGGGTTGAAAGGTAGTTGCAGCAGCAACGAGCAGCTACCAGGCCTGGAGACGATGCGATTGGAACTGGAGTGGAACGCGGCACCGGCAACTGAAATGATGCACGCCAGTGGAAGTAGAAGTCGAAGTGGATTCCCTTGGGCGGGCAGGGCGGGCAGGGTCGGCAGCCTTCCACCTTCAGCGAATGTGGCTCCTTCCTGCTGTTCGGATGTTTTCAGACGCCGCTTCCCTGCTGCGTCGCGTTGTGTCTTGACTTCAAAGCTGGGTCGGGTGGCCTCAAATTCCACGGCATTCATCATTTCAGTTCAGTTTCAGACTGGACCCCACATTATCCCGCACCATCCACAAATGACAACGATCCCCAGATTTTCATTGGTAAGCCACAGCGAGGCTGACCATCACGTGCTGTCAGCTTCGACGTTCAAAAAGAGAATCATGCCCCTGATGACGACGCTCGCCAAATGACGCTCTGATCCTCGAATTTCCACTGCTGCGCTAGCGACAATCTTATCGATAAGTCGACTGTGACCTGTACAATTCAATACTGGTTTGTTTGTTAGTTTGGTTCTTCGAGCATGGGTTGAACAGGGGAGTTTTAGAGCTCTTATTGGCCTTTGAAGAGAGGAACTGTCCTCCGTTTGAAGCATTATGGGATAATGACAAGGGTTTAAGACGCCACAGAAGCCTCTTATGTCTCTCTCCGACTCCTTCAAGACTGGACGATATCGGTCTACGGTAGTTAACCGATAGAAAGCCGAATGCTTTCCTATATCCAGCAAAGCGTTGGCTCTTTTGTACCAAACTAACAAACAAACCAGGGCTGGATTGTACCTCTACGTATCACAGCGTGGGTATTTCACCACTGAGGCAGTCGCCCAACTTGGACGTTTTCATGACGGCCTCTAGGCGCTTTTCTGGATTAATTGTTCGCATGTAATGTTCCAGCATGAGCGGTTCTGGTTACAGTGACTGAGATGTTTATCCCACCGGATTCTCTGTCAGCATATGCCGGCGATATGCATCACGTCCTTTCTGTCTTGACTCTCCCCAAGATACGACGACCAAGCTGTCATCGAGAACCTTCCATCTTCGCCTTGGACAAATAGCAGGTTGTTTTTGAAGGCGTGCCTGCTTCCCACGCATGGCAGCCCTAGAAGTGAGAGCCCGTCAGTGGCGAGACTTGAGCCTCCCAAGCCGCGTTCAAGCTTTCATTGTCAATACCTAACATCGGCCCAGATAAAGCAGGAAAATGGCAGAGATGCTGAAATCAGCTTTTTGGGGCCGGAAAAAGTGTTATCTGCCAAGAACCAGGGTTAGGGTCTTCTCCTTGGTTTGTTTACTTACCCCTGAAACATCTGCTGTATCTTTTAGAGCGACGATGATGTAGACGATAGCCTTCTTGGATCGTGGCTCACTAATGTCGAGGTGGTAAATACCGAAATGGCGCAGAGTTTGAATTGAAGCTGATTGAGCTGGAGGGTAATTGGCCTTGCTCATCATAAGCAAGACATGGTTCCAAACTCATGACATTCTCCTTTCTACACCAATGGTAAATACGGCTATCATGAGTTTGGAGATGCTGCGGGCGCCGAAACGCATCTTCCACTTCGTAAATCCATACAGTCGGGCTGGCCGTCGTCTTGGCCGGTTACCGTATCCCAAGATAGGATACTTTGTGGGCAAAAGGGAGTGAAGCGTAAACTCAGCTGGAATTTCCTGCTCTTCGAACGGAATTCTTGCCCGGAAAGGAACAACTAACCAGGAACCCTGAAGGGCAAATCCTTACCCCGGAAAGTGAGTGCCGGCAATCGTCGTCTTGGGGATGTTCATGTTGGATTCTCGATGCTGGGCTCCGGAGAGTGGGTAGTGGGCAGTAAGCGGCTCGCGGATCGCTTCAGCCCCGAGCCTCAGGGGTCGTTTTCGGAAGCATTACATAATTTGTGCACAGCCTCAGCACCGTTTAAGCTTCAGCGCTGCCATGACCTATCAGAAACGCTCGTTGCGCCCTGACATGCTTGATATGGCTGTGATGACAAGCACAAGCTAGAAGTGGAAGCGGCCCACCCGTCAACACGAGGTAGGACCGCTATTTTTTTTGTATCTTGCCAGCATCCCGCATGGGGAAAAGAGTGACGTTTCATCACATCATGAGAGAGTCTCGTGAGAGCCAGAGAAGACTGCGCAGACTTGGGGAAATGTCCAATTGTAGGAGGTTGCTGGAAGTGAGGGTAGGACGACGGGAAGACTTGTTGCAACTTGGTGCAACAGACAGCTCAGGACAGCTCCCACACATGCACATCCCGAGTTGGCTGTTGTTCTGGAGGGTCGTCACTGTAATTCTGAAAAGGGAACCAAGAAAGCAATTAATGGCCCCTGATGCGCCGTGCCTGGGAATCGTGGATTTGTACAAGTATGTGTCTCCCCAAATGTCCCCAAATGTCCCCGTCGCGGCGACAGGGGTCGGACCAACACCAACCTGGAAGCAACCCAGGCCGGCCGAAGACGAGCTTTGACGAGCTTTGACGAAGCCTGTCGGTCACCGTAATCTTGACTGTGTTCGTCGCTGCTGTGGTGGATGAGTGTAAGTGAGGAGTGAGAGAGAGTCGGGTGGAGAGCCCGGACCACGTACCGTTTATTCTAGGAGTTCGGCGTTTTGAGGCCTCGCTGCCAGGGTGTTTATGTAAGCCGCCGTAATTCGTCCCATCAGTTTCCTCAGTTCATCCTTCATAGCGAGAAGCCCCCCCGTCCTTGATCAGCAGCTATCAACCGTTGTTTTCCCCTCAAAATTTCCCACGAAACAACCAACACCACAAGTCCAAGTCCAGGATTCCAGGCAACCAGTCTACGGTCAATTCCACTTTTATTCCATTGTTACGGACTCCTCACTTCAGTCCACGGCTTACCAACCTTATCACCCGGGTTACCAACGACGAGCACTGACACTGTACGCTGGTCACTGTCCAACTACCGCTATCTTGACTCCCGCTCCGCTAGCCGTGTTGCGCGCGCGACTTCCACTTCCACTGCAGTTCCAGGTCCATTTCCAGTTCCAGTCCTGGCCCTTTCATTCTAACCCAACCGTCACTTTTTTCAACTTTTCCATCTTTTCCTCCTCGTCCCGTCTCCAATTGCTCCTCGCTCCATCCCACCTGTTCATCCAATTCTGCCGTCAACGCAATTCAACGCACGCGCTCTACCACTCTCCCGATTGAATCGCTCGTCTGCCTCTTGGCCTCTCGCACGCCTGCTGGTACCTCCAGGTTGACCGCCCCTCTAACGCATCTTCTCGTACCTCGACCCGACATACACTCTCGACCAACCCCCTCACATCCCAACTGTTCGTACAGTTGCAGCGGCGACGACTCCAATCCCCGAACGGAATATCCCGATAGATCTTCATCGATAGCAATTCGAAATTGAAAAACGCAAGAGCATCGCCTACCACACACCGTCGACAGCGCAGAGACCCAGGGGGCTCGAGGTCCTCTTAGGCGAAGTGAGCTTGGTTTGGACAAACACAAGGCTCAGGACATCTACCGCCATTACCCAAAATGGCATCAGGCAGCCCTCAGAATGTCATCCGCAGGTAAGCTAGCACCTGTCTTGCTTGGGCTTTACGATTCCGGAAATGATGGAGAACTACGGGACCGAATCAGTCCGACCCAGAGCTCTTCGAGTGACCGATTTGGAACACCAAACCCCTTCCCCGCCGTTGTGCTGCACCAGCCTCCAGAACAGACAGTCCAGCAACTCGTTGCCGCGCCAATCCACAGACGCTAATCCTCCGTGTGATTCAGGAAACTCGTCATCATCGGCGACGGTGCTTGCGGGAAAACCAGTTTACTGAGCGTCTTTACTTTGGGTTTCTTCCCAGCCGTAAGTTACCAGATCCGATCCCACACACTCACCTGCCTTCCTGTCATTCGTACCCTAGAATCAATGGCTAACATGTACCTGCGCGGGAACAGACATATGTGAGTAGAATCCGCCGGTGAAACCGTACGCGGCACGGGCCTTCGGTGTCCCCGTGCCCAATGCTTCCTGTGCTCTTGAGCATATTGCATCAACATCCTCCCAAATACACCCGTCTTAACACTCGCTGTCCATGTTCTCGTCGCGCTGACCGGCATCGATATTCAACAGATACCCACCGTATTCGAGAACTACGTTACCGACTGCCGAGTAGACGGAAAGTCGGTTCAGCTAGCGCTATGGGATACAGCCGGACAAGAAGACTATGAGCGATTACGACCACTAGCATACTCGAAGGCGCATGTCATTCTAATAGGGTTTTCTGTCGACACGCCAGATTCTTTGGACAATGTTAAACACAAGGTGGGTGGTTCGAGCGACGCATCGTTTCAGCAAAGCAACAAGACAGACCGCTAACCAAGACATTACACAGTGGGTCACCGAGGCCAATGACAGATGTCCCAATGTTCCCATCATTTTGGTTGGTCTCAAGAAGGATCTTAGGGGAGATCCAGTTGCCATCGAAGAAATGCGGAAGCGATCCCAACGATTCGTGATGGAGGACGAAGGCCAGAGGATAGCAAAGGAGATTGGCGCTCGAAAGTACCTCGAATGTTCCAGTCTTACCGGAGAAGGTGTTGACGACGTATTCGAGGCAGCCACGCGAGCGGCGCTGCTAACGTTCGAGAAGAAGGAAGGAAGCGGGTGCTGTGTGATTCTATGAGGAGCAAGGGATAGGGGGATCCATTTGAAGCCTCTCCATTCGCCATCCTTTCTCTCGGACGATCGTGCGCAAGGATTTGAGAACAAGCGCGGCTGCAGCCGAGACGAGCACAGTCAGTTTTTGATTCGCGGATGACTGGTATATATGGCTTCAAACTCGAAAGGGAACGGGAGTGGGGATCAAAAACCACAAAGGAGACTCCCTCTTTGGCTTGGTTGAAAAGAGCAGGGACCTGCAGCCGCTTGGCTGGAGGGCTCTTCAGTCTGAACTCTCCGCAACTCGACAGACGCACATGCTCTCTCCGAACTCGTTGAAGCCGACTTGACGGGTCCGACCTCGCCTCACACTCTCCCCACATCAACCTTGTTGCTCAACATGGCATCAAATGCCGGGACGAAGAATGACCATAATGATCCACATGGGTTTCATTTTCATTCAGCCAGATGGTTAGGCAGGAGTAAGGGACGCGGCACATGAGAAACTCATCCAGCCTTGTTCTCAGACATATCTATCTTATGTATTAATATGGCTTTAGACTTTCCTTCGACTGTCACGGTTTTCTTTTTGTCAACTAACAAAGCAGTGGGTTTGGATGACCTGGGCGACACAGTGTGGTTGGCACATGTTTTGCTCCCTGGGTTTCACATCTCACACCGTCAGCATTATTCATTTTGCGGCTTGCGGTGAAATCTGGCATCATCTGTGTTATTCGGGTGTCAAAAAGGCAGAGAGGGAGGTCAATGGGGATCTCATCTTAACTTTTCTAAATATCTACAACCCGCGGAAATCTGCTTGTGCAAAATAACTGGAATGGCTACTGATGGAAGGGGTGCAAGGGAGAACATGGTGATGGGAAAGAGGAGCAAAGTCATCAGGGGCGGAGGCAATCATTGTTCTTAATACTCGGGCAGATTATGTCGCAGCAAAATGAGTTGCTGAGGAGATAGAACTGCTGGTCAGACACGTATTCTATGCCACTCGAAATTCCACATATATCGGTTAGCACTGCGTGATGCCTACGAGTGAGTGAATTGTGAACTGAAAGGTTCCTTAGGTTTGGCTGTGAGTTGCCAACACTGCCTTGAGTGAAGTTACATGGAGAAACTCGCAAAGAGAAGCACAAGGATGCACTCGAGAGACAAGCAAGGACGTCGATGAATGCTCCAAAGTTTATCAAGAGGCATTGTGTAGTAAAGCCATGTGCCTGTATTGCCTTGTTTCCTACCAAGCGAGATCCTTATACACATACAAATACACGTGGTAACAGGTACACGGCTCAGTCTCGCTGTACTGTCCTCTTCTCAGCATCCTTGAGCAAGAGGACTGCAGCGGTCGCTGGGTTTCCTCCTTCCAGAACCACCCAGTTGCGTGCCTCAAGACGCCCATCCCTCGACTCGACAAGAATCTCGCTCTGCGGTTTCGGTCGTCCTCGGGGTCACCATGATTTCACCATGTCCCTCCGTTCCCAAATCGCAGACAGACGGACATCATGATCAGAAGAGCCCACAAGCCAGAACCAAACCGGTGGGGGAAAATGACGAGAAAAATCGTAGCAAATCCATGGAAAATCCTGCTCATCCCTACTCGTACAATCAATCACTCAAAATCCCCTTTTGGTCCCTGGTCCCTTTCCATCTTATTGCTTCCTTCCCCAGAGATTGTTACACCTCATGCATGTCCAGACCCCTCCATTCTTTTCATACCCTCCATTCTTCCCTTCCCTTCCCACCCAACAAAATTTACCGCTTCCACTCATGATTCCAAGCCTGCCTACCCGGCGTCTCCACCAACGCCCGACTAGCATACTCAATCGGAATGCTCTTGAGTCCATACACCCCCGTCTTCAGCATCGCCACGCGATACAGGTATCCCGTCTCCCTCGTTCCGGGGCCCTCTGTGTTGCGGAGCTCCTCACACGCATTGCTCATGCTCTGGTGCTGCTGCATCAGGATACGCTCGCGCTGCTCGCGCTGCTGGCGACGCCAGAGCAACCAAGCGCGATGGATCGCCCAGTGGCGCAGGTACCTGTTGCGGCCGAACCGGAGGGGGGGCGGGATCCGCTTGGGCGACAACACGGCAAAGTGTCGCAGGATGTTGATGATGCGCGGGTCGACTTGCTTGGGACCCTTGGACTTCTTGGCGCCGGCCTTTTGGCCCGAGAACATGCCGGCTGGGGGACCGCCTTTGCCCTTGGTCGCGTAGGAAGCGGTTTGCTGCTGGTGCTGGATAGCGGGGAGGGCGGCGGTCGCGGGCTTGGTGAGGAGGAGGGATGATGGCGAGGAACGCGCGCCGGCGAAGAGGCGGGTGGCGAGGCCACGGAGGGATGTGAATGTTGAGGACGACATGGTGGGTGCGTGTATTGGGGGTTCGCGTCTTCGTGTGCTTGTGTGTGCTTTCGTGTATTTCTTGTTACTTCGACTTCGTTTTCTCTTGTCGCGCAGTGCGTGGTCGTCGATAGTCGGCTAAATGAAGAGGAATCGCTCTACATCCCTTTTTGGCGTCCGACGTTTTGCTTTCGAACCACCTTTCGGAGTTACGTCTTTGCTGATGTTTCGCGACCGGGACGCGGAGCTGGTGGGTTTCGGGGGAGTGGGTGCCGGAGTCAAAAGGGATGAGGCCGCCTTGATCTTTTCCACAGTCAGTGCCTGGCGTTTTCCAGATTCGACCGAATTGAGGACGGCGGCGCGGTAAATCTTTACAGACTCCACATGCGGCATGCCATGTGATTGGCTACCATCCTTTGGGGTTTAAACAAATGTGGGGACATACCTGTTGCACCCTTGAACCACTCGCGGGACACTTTCCAACGTCAACCTTGTAAGTCGTTAGTAAAGTCCTGGTTCTCCAGCAACAACCAACCACGACTTTTGCTGAAGACTAACCTTGCTACGCTCTGTCGGCGTGCTTTCCTCATCTTCCTCCTCACTCTCCGGCTCCCGGAGGTTGTCGACCATGGCGTGAATCCTGCGCGTTCGCTCAGGTGACGGCATGTCCTCCCCTATTACGATGGTCAGTTCTGATCTAGCGGCATTACACTCCATGGACCAGCACAACTGGTCAAGAAAATAAACGGCATCAACTGTGCTGATCGTGCAATCTCGTTGTCGGTACCAGCTCGAAGCTCTCAGTAAAGAACTAGCAAGGCCGAGACGTGGCAGACAGCAACACGCAACATCTCGGTGACAATTTGGAAAGGAGTGAAGAAGCGAGGAGCACAGATATGATCAACGCCAGCGAGATTGTCATGAGGGAACAAACACCATGAAGGCTTCCCATATTGAGGGCAGCAGAAAATTCCTACTAGTCCCGACTGGATATCACGGACACTGAAAAGCATGGCTAACGCGATGCGGGCATGGGAAACAAAGGAACGATGGCAAGCAAAGGTTCACACGACGATGGCACCGAGTTGCTTCTGCACATGATAACTTCATGAAGGCAGGAAGATTGTTCCCGACGGGAAGAGGTAGGATTGTGGACAGATATGCATCTTTGGAGAGGGGAAAAAAAAAAAAAAAAAAAAAAAAAAAGAAGCATAGTTTGGGGGAAAGGAGCAACTCACAGCTCTTCTTGATAGGTTTCGTCACATTCTTAGACACCTCTCGGTGCTTGGTCGTGGTGCTCTTCGTGGTGATAGTCTTCGTCACCTTGTCAGACAACTCTCGGTGCTTGGTCGTGGTGTTCTTCGTCGTGGTTGTCTTTGTGACTTTGTTGGCCACCTCTCGGTGCTTGGTTCCCGTCTTCTTTGCCGACATTTTCGACGTGGGCTTCTCGGATGTAGGTGCTATGGTTATTGAAAGCTGTTGCGGAAGGTGATGATGAGTTGTTTTAAAAGGTAATTGTAGATGGCAGGTGTGAGCGGGAATGTAGATGAATGATGGAAGGAAGTAGTTTCGACTTTAGAGAAAGGAAAAGGGAGGACTGTCTGGAATGATGGAAAGTTTTATTTAACCTTGCTCCTGATTACGGACTGTTCCATACCACTCCTATAGGGACACTCAGGCACGGAGGCCCAGACATGCAGGCGGGCTTGAATTACTTCAACTTAAATTGTTTAGATCCGGCATATCTGCAGCCTCAAAGGTAATCATCGGAATCAGTCATTTTCTTCTGCGTCATCACGCCCGTATCATAACATGCAACTGATGAGTTGCACTGTGCGATCCGGTTGTAGTTTATCCTTGGAATTCGGCCTCCCAGTTTGCACCTACCGGGCGAATGGTCGTAAGAATAAACCGAACACGTTACGGTCAGTACATTACACCTTAGGTATACTCCTTTTACGCATCCAAGCGTCTTTATTACACCTTTGAACCTAACTTGTAGGCAGTTCCTGAATGGAAGAATCCCTAGGTGACTCTGGCCGATGTGTTTTCAAATTATTGTGATCCCTATCACAGTTCGGTAACGGCCTTTGCTGGCTAAAGCGAGCCGTATTGGACTGTCTTATGTTCGGTTTTACTTTTACGACCACGTCGCCGGGCTATTCACAAAGATTTCGCCACATTGTCCCTCGAATGCAACCTGATCAAACCTCCAAGTTGTGAAGATTGCTGGCCCCGGAAGTGGTCCAGCGCGGAGAGAAATGGTCACCTTCATTTCTCTAAGGCTTATACAGACGGAGAAAGGAAAGGGTGCAATAACAGTTTCCAGCAGGTTTTGGGGAGGGGTTGTCCGTAATTTTTTTTTCTTGGTTAAAGTTGCGGAAGCACGCCTTGAAATTTCACCGAAAACGACATTAGAAGGGCGTGCCGACTGCAGGCAAATGGGAAACGTTTTGTCACGAACATGATGGAAAACGTCAGTCCCCGTCGGACATACTTGACGCCTCAAAGTCCCTCTTGCTGTGCCAACTTAGGTTTTTCTTTTTCTTTTCTTGCATTTGGTATTTCTGTAATGCATTCCAATAGATAATCTCCGAAAGGCACATAGCACATGTCGAGAGCTCACTAGATGCTTCGAGACCTCGACATCCATCCTCCGGTCTTGTTCTCAATGCATGGTCAAACTGGAAATTGCCAATGGTGAATTCTGTTCACTTGCATGACCCCTCGAGGTTGCATACCTCCTTGGATCGGCGAGGGAGGTTGAGGTAATGAACAGGATACACCACGTTTCAGAATATCTTTCGGGTTTCGGGACATTGCGAATAGAACAGTCGCTTGAGCTTTCGTAATGCGTAAGCTTGATGCTTAAGTCATTGCAAGATTGCATTTTGGGGAAGAAAATTAGTTTTCTTGAGGGAACTACTGTGTAAGGGGGGCGGGGGCGGGAGAGGGCCCATCTTCCCCTCGACTTCTGCAAGGACACTCGAGAACAGCAGTCCAGTTGTATTATGAGCACATCTACACATTAGCTGTAATCCAACTACAAGTAGTAGAGAAATGATAATGCGATTGAAATTTTGGATTGTGACCCACAGACCGCGTGTACCAAAGCCCGTTCGGATCGCGTCCTCTCGACGTGGATTAAATTCTTGAAGACGTATGGCCAACAAGGGCTCGCTGACTATCAATAACCGACCATGTCGAAGGGAATCAAAGCACAAATGCCAGGTGAAGCTTGAGAAAACTGACGGCAGTTGAACACGAGTTTCCTTCGTCTCCAGCTTCTTGGAGGCGATAGAGGCTGTTCAGATGGTTAGCTGACAATTGCGGATGTTCAAGAGCATCTCCTGTTGCCCATCAACATTGGAGTGAACCCGTCAGCGCAGCGACTACGTATTAGTCTGCAAATTTTCATTGGTTGACGTGAACTGTGACCCGTTTTGGAAACAGTCTCTTCCACGATGTATCGATGAAGTCGCGAGTCGCAATAAGGAGTGAAGCATATCACAGCAGAACCGCAACGCAGTGTGAGAAGCCAGGGGTGAAGCACTGCTATGCCGTCCAACGTTTCTTCCAGGAACCTTTGAAGACGAACGTCACAGTTTGTTATTTTGAAACCAAAGATACCATGCTGCGTTAGGGTTGAAAGCCTGACGGCCTATTCTCCCAGCTGCCATGGTACCGTGCCGCGGACACCTCCGGCACCACTAACCCTTGGGACAGCTGGTAAGCAGACTCGGATTTCAGAAGATTACACGTGATGTACATATTTCTTCATCTGCAAAGCTCAAAGCAGGTTGATGTGCAGCCATCGGTGTTTCGGTGGGAAGAAGTTGACCCGAAGTCAGGGCAAACTTTTCGAGAAGAGACGCCCCTGTGGAGGGTTAGGGTTCTGGGAGAGATGTCTTCCAAGTTGGAGCCCCTTGACTGACTGTGAAAGAGAGTGACGTCATCTGCGTTCCCTCGATGAACAGACATCGATCGATGGGTTTGTTCGAGGAGGACTGACAGAAACAATGACTTGGTACGGCTTGGCAAATGAAGCCATACTCGGCCAGACGAGATCATCACTTGTCCGGTCCGGAGCCTGGACGGTGCGGTTAATGGCGGAGGACATGTCCCCGTCGACCGAGATGAAACGCGCAGGTCGCCATACGAGGTGTGGATGGGCCGGCCAGATTCGCCGATCAGCGGAGGACGGTGGACCGGAAGCGGCACCGAACGGGGCGCTGAACCGGACGGGGCCCTCGCTTAAGATGGGTTAGCCAATCAGTAACACGGAATTCGAGTAAAACAACCCCACCTAAAAATTTGGACAGGCATGATACACCATCGCAGACTCTATCACAGTGGCATCCCGCACGACTCCAGCGACCTTTCAGCGGAGTCCAGTGTGACTCCCATTGTGTTTCCTTATCTTATCACTCCGCCACCGTCTCAGACTCCCGTTGGATTTTGGAAGATCTCTTCCTCCCGAACGCATCTCTCCTCCTTTGGAGAAGCGTTTGGCTGTGTGCCAATCCGTCCAACTTCAACTCACCAACCTCACCATCCCATAACCTCTTGGGTATTTTGCGCCGTTGCGCCTCCCCCTCCATCCAACAATGGAGCTCCTTACTCTTACGGGCGGCTCCTGCTTCACGGCCTCCGAGGCCGTCAAGTTGAAGGAGCAGATCAACAAGACAGCCCCCATCAAGGTCTCGTCTGTCTCGGGCGTCTGGGTCTATTATGCGCACATCGCTGGCGATGCCAATTCCGCCCAGCAGAAGCTCGCCCAGCTTCTCCCTCTCTCTGCCGACCAGGCCGCCCCCCATCTTACACACATTGGCTATGGGCGCAAGTGGTATGTGACTCCTCGCTACCTCTCGCCATGGAGCTCCAAGGCCACCAGCATTGCCCAGGTCTGCGGCTTCGAGAAGGAGATCCACCGCATTGAGCGCGGCCGTCTCATCCACATCGAGTTTGAGCAGCCCTTCAACGACAAGAACATCACCTTCCGCGATGTTCTGCACGACCGCATGACCGAGACCTTCTCGGCCGACGCCCCCGACCTGGTCACCATGTTTGCCGAGGGCCAGCCCCAGACTCTGGAAGTCGTCGACATCTTCGCCCCTGGCAAGGACCCTATCCAGGTCCTGCAAGAATACAACAAAGAACGCGGCTTGGCGCTTGACCAGTCCGAGATCGAGTACCTGGTCGAGAAGTTCTCCCAGCTCGGTCGCCCCCCTCACGATGTTGAGCTCTTCATGTTCGCTCAGGTCAACTCTGAGCACTGCCGTCACAAGCAGTTCAATGCCAACTGGACCATCGATGGCATCTCCAAGGGCAAGAGCCTCTTCGAGATGATCAGAAACACTCACAAGGTCACCCCCGACTTCACTGTCTCGGCCTATAGCGACAACGCTGCCGTCATGGAGGGTGACCACGTCAACTTCTGGTCCCCCGACTATTCGACCGGCTCGTGGAAGTTGAACAAGGAGTTGATTCATGTCCTGGCCAAGGTCGAAACACACAACCACCCCACTGCTATTGCGCCCTTCCCCGGTGCCGCCACTGGTTCTGGTGGTGAGATCCGTGATGAAGGTGCCGTCGGCAGAGGCTCTATGCCCAAGGCTGGTCTTAGCGGCTTCTGGGTCTCTGACCTGCACATCCCCGATCACACTGCCCCGTGGGAGATCGACGTCGGCCGCCCGGCCCACTATGCCAGCGCTTTGGATATCATGCTGGAAGCTCCCATTGGTAGCGCCCGCTTCAACAACGAGTTCGGCCGTCCCTGCCTTACTGGTACCTTCCGCACCCTCCTTACCGCCGATGACACCAAGGCGGAGGGTGAGTTCCGCGGTTACCACAAGCCCATCATGATTGCTGGTGGTGTTGGTACCGTTAGGGAGAACCATGCGCTCAAGAACCCATCCGACGTGCAAGAGGGCGCCCACGTCATTGTTCTCGGTGGCCCCGCTATGCTTATTGGCTTGGGCGGTGGTGCCGCTTCGAGCAACGACTCTGGCGAAGGTAACGCCGATCTTGATTTCGACAGTGTTCAGCGCGGTAATCCCGAACAGGAGAGACGCGCCCAGATGGTCATCAACACCTGCGTTGCTCTTGGCATCCAGAACCCTATCGCCATGATCCACGATGTGGGTGCTGGTGGTCTTTCTAATGCCTTGCCCGAGCTTGTGAAGGATGCTGGCTTCGGTGGCAGATTCGAGCTGCGCGAGGTTGAGTGCGTCGACAAGAGCATGAGCCCTCTTCAGATCTGGTGTAACGAGGCTCAGGAGCGTTACGTCTTGCTCGTCAACCCTGATAGCATGGAGCGTTTCACCAGCATTTGCCGTAAGTTCACACTGATACCCCGGGTTGTTTGTATTTGCTGGTAATTCTGACAAACGTATACAGGGAGAGAACGTTGCGGCTTCTCTGACGTCGGAACCGTCATCACCAAGGAGGCCGATGGCGTTTCCAAGCTCATCTTGAGCGACAAGCAGTCCAACGAGTACCCCCGTCCTATTGATGTCCCTATGGATGTCCTCTTCCCCAAGGGACGTAAGCTCGAGCGCATTGTCACTTCCAAGAAGCCCCAGTGGCCTACTTTCAACCCTGTTGCCAGCCTGAAGGAGGCCTTTGGCGATTCGACTAGCGACGAAAACCTTCTCAGACAAGCCGTTCAGCGTGTCTTCTGGCTGCCATCTGTTGGCTCCAAGTCCTTCCTGATCACCATCGGTGACCGTACAGTCGGTGGTCTTACCGTGCGTGATCAGATGGTTGGTCCTTGGCAGGTTCCTGTTGCCGATGTCGCTGTCACCCTCTCCTCGTTCGGCCTTAATGGCGTCAAGGGTGGCGAGGCCATGGCCATGGGCGAGAAGCCCACTCTTGCTCTTATTTCTCCTGCTGCTTCTGCCAGAATGGCGGTTGCCGAAAGTTTGTTGAACCTCGGTGCTGCCGACATCAAGGCTGGATCCCAGCGTGGTGATCTCAAGCGCGTCAAGCTCTCCGCCAACTGGATGGCCGCTGTGAACCACCCCGGTGAGGGTGCCGCTCTCTACGAGGCCGTCGAGGCCATTGGTATGGAGATGTGCCCTGAGCTCGGCATCAGCATTCCTGTTGGAAAGGACTCGACCTCCATGAAAGCATCCTGGAAGGATGGCGAGGCCAAGAAGAGTGTCACTGCCCCTGTTTCCGTCGTCATTACCGCCTTCACCACGGTTGAGGACGTTCGCAGGACTTGGACTCCTCAGCTTCGTCGCGTGGAGGAAGTTGGCGAGACCGTTCTCCTGTTCGTCGACTTGGCCAAGGGCTTCAAGGCTCTGGGTGGCTCTGCTCTTGCTCAGTCCTTCGGCGCGATCGGCCACGAGGCGCCTGATGTGCGCGATGTGGATCTCCTCAAGGACTACTTCGATGCTCTTGCGCAGCTCCACGAGAGCGGCGTCGTCCTTGCCTATCACGACAGGTCCGATGGTGGCTTGATCACCACTGTTGCTGAGATGATGTTCGCCGGTCGCTGCGGCGTCGACTTGACCTTGGACGGCGTCTCCAAGTCTGGAAGCTTGGCCGATCTCACCGATGCGCTCTTCAACGAGGAGCTTGGTGCCGTCTTCCAGGTTCGTGCCGAGGATGAGACCAACTTCAAGCGCTGCTTCGCCACTTGCGGTCCTCCTGCTGGCCTGATCCGTAAGATTGGTGTCGTTCTGCCCAGTGCCAAGCAAATACTTGCCATTCGCTATGGCGAGGGTACCCCCTTCGTCACTCTTGACCGGGCTGAGATGCAGCAGTGGTGGAGCAAGACCTCGTACGAGATGCAGAAGTTGAGAGATACCCCGGCCTGTGCCGACTCTGAGTACGCTGCCCTCCTTGACTCTCAAGACCCGGGTCTCTCCTACACCCTTACCTATTCTCCCGCCGAGAACATCGTTCCCTTCACTGCTTCCATCACTGGCTTCTTCGGCAAGACGCCTCGCGTTGCTATTCTCAGAGAGCAGGGTGTCAACGGCTACGCCGAAATGGCCTTTGCCTTCCGTGCCGCTGGCTTCGATGCGGTGGATGTCCACATGACCGACATCATCAACGGCCGCTCTCTCGCCGACTTCGTCGGTCTCGCCGCCTGCGGTGGCTTCTCCTACGGTGACGTTCTCGGCGCCGGCCAGGGTTGGGCCAAGTCCATCCTGCTGCACGAGAAGGCCCGCGCCGAGCTCGAGGCCTTCTTCAACCGCAAGGACACCTTCAGCTTGGGCGTCTGCAACGGCTGCCAGATGCTTTCCCGTCTCAAATCGCTGATCCCCGGCGCCGAGCACTTCCCCACGTTTGTGCAGAACGCCTCGGCCCAGTTCGAGGCCCGCTACGGCATGGTCAAGATCGAGGACGGAGAGGCCAGCAAAAACTCGGTATTCTTCAACGGCATGGGCGGATCCAGCCTCCCCATCGTCGTCTCTCACGGCGAGGGCCGCGCCGAGTTCGACTCGCAGGCCGACTTCCAGGCGCTCACTCAGCAGAACGGTATCCCCATCCGCTACGTCGATAACCGCCTGAACGTCACGGAGGAGTACCCCTTCAACCCCAACGGCAGCCCGGCCGGTATCGCCGGTGTGGCTAGCAGGGACGGCCGTGTCCTGGCCATGATGCCTCACCCCGAGAGAACCATCATGGCTGACGTGACGAGCTATGCTCCCGAGGACCAGCTTGCTCAGTGGGGCGAGTTCGGCCCCTGGTTGAGGATGTTCAGGAGCGCTAGACGCTGGGTTGGCTAAGCAACGATCTTATGAGACGATGAGACCAGATGAGATAAAACAAGGTACAGGTAGAAAACCTGAAGAGAGATGATCAATATAAAAGGTTCAAAGAAAGGGATAATTAGGGCTAGGAGATTCAACATTTGCGGAATGCGGAGTATGAGGGAGGGGTTTAACCAACTGGATGCTGGGCGGGCAGGGAAAAAGGGATTGTTTAGTGTTTTGTTGGGAATTGTATATATGGGTGGCAGTCTAAATACCGAAAAAACGGGCACGTAGTCTGGAAAGACTCTTTAAATATCATGTTCGATTCGTTCATCATCGCCGACACGTTGTGGGTTCTCGTGAAGTTCAAGCATCAGTAACACTGTAAAGCATGAATAATCGGTTCAGCCTTTCGAAAGGGTGCATGCTTTTAATTTTGGCCTCCATGTCTGCTTGTAGACTCCTGCTATGCCAACTTGTAATATTATACCTGAGCTAAGCGGGTGAAAAATGCTGCAAGAATCATAAATCATCCATCAACAGTTCCACCAGCTCGTTACCTTCCACCAGCACCACCAGCACCGCCGGCACCGCCACCACCCATGAACGAGCGCGCCCTATCAATCTTGTTAGTATTCTCGAACTTCTTGACGCAAAAGAAATAAAGGGGCAGACTCACAAGTCGGCAATGTTGGGATCGTTCATAAGCGAAGAGATATCAGGCAGACCGCCACCGCCCTGGAACTGGTTCGCCATATCCCTGAGACGGGGGTTGCTCATAAGGTTGGACATCATATCCGGGTTGCTCATGAGGTTCTGGGCCATCTGAGCAAACATGGGGTTGTTCATGATGGAACCAAGGTCGGGCATACCGCCACCAGCACCAGCACCAGCGCCAGCGCCAGCACCACCACCACCGAACATACCCGCCAAGCTGCTCAAATCAGGCATACCACCCGCACCAGCACCGCCGGCGCCACGAGTGGCAGGCGCATCATCCTGAGCCTCCAACTCCTCCACCCTCCTCTTAGCCGTCTCAAACCCCTTCTTCATCGCCTCACTACCGCCGTTACCCTCGTACTCAATACCCTTCTGGTACGCCTCCATGGCGCCCTTGGCGTCGCCGAGCGCGAAGCGCGCCAGACCCAGACGGCTCCACGCCTTGGTGTACTTGGGGTCGATAGCGACGGCGGCCTCGGCGTCGGCGCGAGCGGACTCGTGGTCGCGCGCGGCAGAGTGGGCGGCAGCCCGGTTGGACAGGTAGATGGCGTTGCCTGGGTTGAGGGTCAAGGCTTGCGTGTAGAAGTCGATGGCGGTTGGGTAGTCCTTTTGGGCCATGGCGGCGTTGCCTTTGGACTTGAGCGATTCGGCTTGTTTTTTGTCTTCTTCTGTGGGGCCATTGCTGCTGCTGGCAGGGGCGGTGGAAGAGGAGGGGGTAGAGGAAGAGGCAGAGGCAGCGGCGGGCTTGGTTTGCTTGAGCTTCTCGTAGACGGAGTAGATCTGGAGCAGGTTCTGGGAGCCGATGGCCTCGGTCACGGCGGCCTTGTCGGAGGGGTCGACGCCGAAGGCCTCGCCGATGCAGTTGACGGCGATGTCGATGTTGTCCTTGTCGTCGGCCTGGAGGGTGCCGTCGGTCAAGGAGGTGTTGAGGAAGTCGCAGATGGCGAGTGCGAGGCGCTGCTTTGATGTCGTCTGTTGGGAGGAGGGGGGAGGGTTAGCTTTTCGCTTCAAGGCAACGGAAGTGACGGGATATGGCATACCATTTTGAATATGATGTGAGTGGTGTCGATCTAGGGGTATCTAAAAGAGAGAAAGTCGTGAAGTTTTGACTCTTGGGTTGGGACACGGGATAGAGATGTGACCTGACAAGAAAGATGGATGCGGGCGGTCTGTACAATACAGCACACTGGTATGGAGGGGACCGCGGGACGCTTCTAGAATTGGATGGGGCAGCCAAGGCCCAGTCGCCCATACAATAATACCCTGCAGATGAGGGTAACTGCGGGGTCTGGCGACTAGCTTGAGATTCTACAGAAAATAACAAGTACGAGACAGCGGAAGCCTCGGATAAAGACGTCCTATACAAGAGTTTACTGTACAGCTCTCCAACTGAAACCCGAACCCTTGGGGTCACGATGCGCACTCAGTGCCGTTGGGTGGAGCCTCGCTGATGTCACGCATGTGCTCCGTCAAATGCACAACTCCCGTTGACAGTCGCGGTCGCGATTGCGGTTGACAGCGCCCTATCTACAGCACCTACTTAAAACATCTTTACGACTCTCCAAGAGGAAGGCGGCTTCGCTCCCTCCAATTTGACGACGCTGCTGCTCACCGTACGTCGTCCACGGGTCCCCCGGCCATGTTAAAGCCCGGCGGTCTGCTGACCTGAACCACAGTTTCGTCGCCGTCACGATATTCATCCAAAAGCATTTACATATTTCGTAGCAATTACGGCGACAACAACGAAGACACCGACGATCGCCGAATCACCCTCCCTCATACCAGATCAATCCCACGATGGCGACGCCAGGCACCAGCTCACAAGCCGGCTCGGACCCCGTACCGAATACCCTCACACGTTCCAACACAGACAACTTTAAGCGATGCTGCATCTGTTACGAGGATGAAGGCGAACGTACTAGCGAACCGGTAGTCCGACCTTGTACCTGCAGTCTCCCAGTTCACGAGACATGCCTTCTACGATGGTACGAAGAGAACCAAAACAAGAGCAGCAACGGCGTGAGCTGTCCGCAGTGCAAGGCTCCGTTCAAGGTCGAGGAGCCCTTCGATTTTGTTGTGGCTCTGCGCAGGACGATACACAGCCAATTCAGCAAGGCGTCACCCATTATTCTCACGTCCATGGTCGTTAGCGGCACCTTTGCCAGTTCTGCTACATACGGTGTTATCGCTGCCTCCTCCTTTGCCGGCTACGAGGCTGCGCTCAGGTGGATAGGCCTTCAGATTACACCCGGTCAGGCTGTTGCCATTCCCATTGCAAGAAGGGCGCAAGTGGGAAGGATGATGATGAGGCTGTGGTCTATGTCCTCCATCGCTCCGGTCGTCATTCTTAGTCGAGCAGTGCCGTTCCTGGCCAACTTCTTTTTTGTTCCATTCTCCGCTATTGTCTGTCAACCCTTCCTCATACTATGTTCATGCTCATTGCTAACCGGTGTCTTTAATTCCAACAGTACGGCCTGGCACTCATAGCCCAGGACGATCACCCAACATGGCCGCCCTCTCCCACGTGGGCAATGGTCATGATGCCTTATCTACACATGAGTTATAATAGATTCTATAACTATTGGCTGAGGCCGATCGACCGACGCCTCAACCGGGCTCTACGGGGTCTTGAAACCAGCCTTCAGCCCACCGTTAGTGCCGCCGGCGAAACCGAGGCCGAAAACAACGAAAACCAAGACGGTGGAAATCGCTTCATCTTGTCCGACCTCCTAGACATGGGACGCACCGCTTGGATTCTCTTTAGCAACACCCCACAGGAAGGCGGAGCAGAACTTGACGTTAGGATTGAAATAGGCGCTAATGTCGTCGACGATAACGATGCCGCCGAGTTCCGCCCAGTAGACGATAGTTTCCTTGAGGTTTCGCCTTACGATGAGGAGGTTGCCACCGCCATCGAAGAGGCAATGGGTCAGGTCCGGGAAGCGGTTCCACAGTATCCAGAGTATGTACAATCACAACCAGCTTCACCGGAACCAGCGCCAGCTGCAGCCGCAGCTCCATCCCCACAGCCTGCAGCAGCACGGGATCGGAACAACGACAGAGACAGAGATCGCGATGGCGTGGAACTCCCCCCCTTCTCCTTCACGGATCTCATCAACAACGTAGTCACCTCTCTCCTCTTCCCCTTCATCTCGTACGGCATGGGCGAGCTTCTCCGCCTCTCACTCCCCAGATCGTGGACTTCCCCACCCAAGCCCATCGTCACGTCTGGTTTCTTTAAGAGGGGAACGATCATGCAAGGAGGACCCGGTGGCCTGTTGCAGCAGAGATGGGGACGCAGTCTGGCGGGCGGGTGTCTGTTTGTGGTGATCAGGGACGTGTTTGAGCTGTATGCCAAGTACAGGAATGTGCAGGTGATGAAGGGGCGGAGGATCGTGAGAAGAAGGGGAGGAGAAGGAGGAGGAGGGCCTAATCGGAGGGCTGCTGGCGCTGGCGCTGGCACTGGTAATCAGTAGTACTTTGCCAGTATCCTCTCGCGTCCGAGGCAGGGGTGATTCTGGTCAGTGTTTGACCAGACATAAACACATGAAGAGAGGGTAGCGCTGGGCGGGCTGTGTTATAGACCCAGTGAAGGATTTGGGCAGGTTGGGAAATTGGGACTGGGCAGCGAACAGGGTCAGTAAGTGAAGGTCTGGGTGTGCATTTACATGGGTTTCGGGGTTACGTTTCTTGCTTTCCTCTTTGCCGTTCTTCCTTTTCATTACCCCGTGGTGAGATTGGTGAGCCTGGTGAGGGGGGTTCACATAGCGTTTTTCCGTGTGCATATTTTAGGACTGTATGGACAAAGAACCGTGATAGCCAACACGGTTATAAACGAACAAGTTTGAGCGGTTAGTCTGTAGGGAAATTGACTGGACGCAGATCACAGCTTTCCCACGCTTCAACTCACAACTGGTGTATGTTAAACTTTCATTATTCCCCCATCATGCTTGCTTCAACCAGGGGCTTCATAAGTAAACACAAACCCCTATTTACCATCCATCAAGCCAACCCCCCCTTCCCACCCAAATAAAGCGCACTTCCAATCCCCGGCTTACTAACCACCACCGCCCCCTCCCTCTGCTCCTCCGTCAACTCCAACTTACTATAATACTCCCTCTCCAACGACTCCTTGACCGCATCCACCTTATCCGCCGGCACCAAATGCACACTACACCCACCCCATCCAGCACCCGTCAACCGACTCCCGTAACTGCCCGCCTTCCGAGCAATCGCGCAAATCCGATCAATCTCCTCGCACGAGCACTCGTACACCTCCCGACACGAATCTTGCGTCTCGTTGAGCAGGGCGCCTAGGCGGCTGTTGAGGTCTGTTGTAGTTGATGACGAAGAAGATGATGAAGAAGAAGGGGAGTTTTCGAGAAGATCCATGAGCTTGAGCACGCGCAACGCTTCGTTGAAGACGTGGATCGCTCGTTGACGCAGCTTGAAGCGCTCGGCGCGCACGGGGAAGCGGGAGGTGAATTTTTGGTTGAGGTCGTCGACCGACGAAAGGCCGAGGACCGTGGCGATTTCGGAGCGGGTGTAGCCCTCTTCTTTGGTGAGGGTTTGCTTGGTTAGCTGGAGCAGCTCCTCGAGTTGCTCTGACACTGATTTGCTCGAGGTGGCGCCCGAGTTGTGCTCAGATAGGGCGAAATAGGTTTCGTGAAAACCGTGGAGGGAGATGCCCAGGGGAGAGGCGTCACCTGGCAATAAAGTGCCGGGTGGGTTGAGCACGGCGTTGAGGTAGGCTGCTGCGAGCGTGCATTCGACGACTCGCAGGTTGTAGTGGATGGGACCGGTCACGAACTTGTCGGCTGTGACGAAGGATTGGGCGATGAGGAAGGTGAGTTCGGGGGAGGTGGGCGGGAAGGAGACGGGGCGGGCGAGGAGGGTGGGCGTGAAGGAGACGAAGAGGGCGGAGCCGCGCTCGGAGAAGACGGAGGCGGATTGGTCCATTCTGTGATGGCATGTCAGTTTCACATCATGCTTGTTAGGATTTGAGAGAAGGCAAGAGATGGGACATACCCTCCAGAGTTCACACCAACGGCTCTCTCACTGACAATAGCCAGCTCCGTCAACTCCTTCTTGTCAACCGTCTGCTCGCCATTGGCCGCCATGACAGCCAAAGCACTAGCCGTGACAAAGGCCGCGCTCGAACTGAGTCCTCCGCCGGCAGGTACGGTGCCGTCCATGAGAATCTGCATGCTCTTGGGTTTGAAGTCGGCCCCGTGCTTCTTGCGCAACAGCTCCAGAGCTCCGCGCAGGCCGGACTTGAAGTAGTTGGTCCATTCGTGAACGGTAGAGTCAATGTCCACGGAGTCATAGGGGATGTCGAACTCGCGAGACTTGAACTTGGAATCCTGCACGTTGGCGATCTGGATCCTGAAGGTGCCCTCCTTGGGAGCTGGAAGGTGTGTTGACACGGCGAGGATGGCGTCGGCGGTGATGGCCATGGGAAGCACCGAGTACAGAGAGTAGTCGATGTGCTCGCCGATGATGTTCACTCGACCGGGAGACCGGGACACGAACTCGGGCTGGTGGCCGTAGGTGGACTCAAACTTGGAGAGGAGGTTGTTCCATCGTTTTGTTTGCGTGTCGAGGGCGTCGGGGGTGTAGATGTCCTCGAGCGAGTTGGCGATGGGGACGGGGCCGGACATGGTGACGTTGGTTTTTGGGGGTATCTTGAGAATTGGACCAGCCAAGTGAGGACCGCAAAGGAGAAAAAGGGTGGAAGGTGGGTTGAAATATGGGAGAGGAAGAAGGGTAAGGTGATGAAAAGGGAGCTCAAGCTTGGAGTAGTTGCCCCGCGGTTCCAGGTACGAGCTGCCCCGCACACTTACAAGGACCTCTACAGCGACCAGGGCAGCGGGTAATTGAATTCGGATGGAGTTGCAAGATGGGGTTCGGTGGAGTTTAGTCCGGGGTCACTGGCTGTTTTGGGTAGTTTGTTTATCAGGATAGACACGGCGTTTGTTTCACGATGGGTTGGTGTCTCTTTCACTTGGTTATGATAAAGTGTGAAGCTGTGTAGTGATGTTTAAGCCTCAAGAAAGAGCAGAGTAGACAATGAGCTCCCAGGAACACAAGTCGGAGTCACGAGATTAATGACAGAAACTTGGGATGAACGTCGTGAACAGCTCCAGTTCTCCTCAGTGATTTGTGTGGTTACAGAGGTACACAGAGAGGTAGACAGCATGGAGTGCTGCTTGGTCACGCGGGGCCCCAGAAACTCCAGCTTTTTTACCCCGAGCAATTGGCCGATTGTGGGGCTATCCAAGGCCCCAGTTCTTGTCGTGATGTTCTTACTGTCTTTTGTATGTTTCCCGAGGTAATTGGGAAAATGTTTTGCGCCATCTGATATCATAGGCAAGTCTATCGTCTTGAAGATGGGATGCTTTCCATCAGCAAACCCTGTTTTGATGTTCAGGGATATGGGGTACTTACAGAGCGGTTTACTGAATCGGAGGGTATTCCGGACATGCACTGTACGACACGACTGGGTAGAAGTAACACCTGAAGATGGTGTCCCAACTTTCGAAGCAAAAAGATGACTTTACAAGTGTGGTGATAACGGTTCAAGAGAAAGATCGAGTAATAGAACTAGAATAATGAGCAAGCAGGCTGTTGAAAGCCCGTGGAGATCAGATTTCCAGGCTGTCATCCAGATCCATAATTGACTGTGTGGAGCTCTATGATCGCACTGTCCCTTGCAGGCAGCTTCCATCCGCTGCCAAGCAATCGAAGCTCAACCTCGAGGAGCTCATCTCATCGAAACAATCCAAATTTCACAACAGAACACGCGCGAGTCTCCAACAAGATGCCACACTACGAGATGGAATGGTTCGACTCTCTAGTTGCAGCAGCTGGGTCCGTCCTTGATGAGAATCCGTCTATCTCAACGGACGAAGTCTGCCAAAAGCTCCAATCCAGTGAGTCTTCCTTTTCCGTCCTTGCCTCGGCAAAAACACCAAAGAACTATACTAACCAACTAATTTCGAACTAGAGGTTCCTGAATCATTCACTTTCAGGCAGTTAACAGGATCAGCTGGGAGATATCTTTCCAAGGTGACTATCCCCGTTATCACAATGGGGAGCAATCAGACAAATCAGACACAGCAGCTAACTCAGAACATCAGAACCTCACCACCACCACTCCCGGAACCCCTACCCGACAGCAATTCACCCTAGCAGTCCTCGCCTGCCTGCGTCTCGATGACCGAATCGCACCCGAACACGATTCAACAAGCGCAAGCGAAGAAACTTCAGATAACGGAGATAACGAGGACAGCCTCCCACTAGGAACCCGCCTAGCTCGCTCCATAGCCAAGGCAATCTCCCCAGTCCTTGCTCAAAAGCCAAACAGCGACTCAGACGACCTCGACGACTCCAACACCCAACTCCGCGCTCACCTCACCACACAATGCCTCTCTGCCGCCGACTCAGCCTTCAAAATCCTCGAGCTCCTCGCCTCACGAGGTCCGGAAACCCTCGATAACCCCGACGTCCTTCTCACTCTCATCTCCTACACCAACCCCGCCGAGGAATGGACGACCCCCGATCTAGCGGCCCGCGCCACACTGCTTCTCCAGCAACACCTCGATTTCAGCTCTGCCCCCGAAACCCCCGGAAAGTCCAACAAAAGACAAGAATTCATCACTACCCACATCCTCCCCACCTACCTCCGCCCCCTCTTCTCCCGCTCTTCCCCCTCCCAACCACTCATCACCCCCTCCGGCCGCCCCTCCGCCTACGGTCAAAACCCCGACGCCCGCCCCTCCGGTCTCCCCGATGACTCGAGCAAGACCAAACCGTGGAAATTCGTCGACCTGCGCGCCGTTTCCGTGTTCGAGTGGGCTGTCTCCGAAGCGGACGAAGAGACCACAATTACCAAGTCTTGGCCGCTTTTCATTCCCGTGCTACTGACGTTGGCGGATGATAACTCTACGGTTGTCCGAAAAAGGGGACTGGTCATCCTGCGGAAGTTCTTGGAGAAGTTTCCGAGTAGGATTTTGGGCGATACAGGGCTGGCTAAGGTGTTTGAGGACACGGTTTTGCCTAGTTTGAGTTACTTGCCTAGTATCACGCCGGAGGAGGAGTCGGTGGAGTTGTTGGGACCGGCGTATGCGGCGTTGAGGTGTTTGGCGGGGAAGCTGTCCGGGGAGAAGAGGAATAAGTTACTGGATAGGGTGGTGAGGGAGGGAATACTGCTGGGGTATTTCCATGCAAAGGAGTATGTGAGGATCGTGGAGGTGTTGTGTCAGGAGATGGGAGAGGTGTTGGTGGAGATGGGGGTGAATGCGGTTAAACATCTCAAGGTATGTGGTATTTGCTGTGCTACTGATGCTGATGCTTATGCACATGGACGACTAAAGTTGGAGATGACGACAGGAGGAAAAGGAAGAACGAAACAATGCTAACCATGCCAATCATCAAACTTCGTAACAGGATATCATCCCCATGCTCTCAACAATCTTAACGGATCCTTTCGCCTCCCTCCATCCACCAACCCTTCTATCCGCCATCAAAGCCCTCCAAGCCGTCCTCGCAACGTGCTGGCCTCGGATTCCCAACTCGCCTTGGCAAGATGAGATTATTAATTCCCTGGTGCTCTGCTGGCTCAATCTTGACGCCTCTGGTTCCTCCGGAGACAACTTCCCAGTAATCAGACAGGCATTGGTCCACACAGCAGACGCACTGGCCGCTGTCCTGGCTACGGAGGTGGAGGAGGGCAAACCGACCATCAATCTCTCCGAAGTCGTCGCACCGCTAGTGGCGAAAGAGCCTTCTCTTTCCCAGCTTTTCTCCGCGGCGTCGAACGAGGAACAGAACTCGGGGTTGGAGTCCTGAAGTTGTCGCAGAGGCGCTGGATTCGGGTCCTCTCCCTGCCTCTGGATGGTGAGCGACTTTGTTCGTCATCTCCGGCTTGAGCCCCAAGGTCCCGTCTGCGTCCTCTGGCAGCCCCATCCATCCCATAACAAACACCCCGACCAACACCACCCATAGTCAACACCCTCCTCGCCTCACTCGGCGAGACGACAACAAAGACCACGGACGACGCCCGTCTCTTCCCATCCCTATCCGTCTCATCAACGTCCTTAACCAGATACCCCGTAGTATTCTCGCCCTCTTCTGGCCCAACAACCAAGGGCTCCTAGTCCACCGGCTGCTGCTTGAAGAGGCTCTTGCCCCTCAACCACTTCCTATAGGCTTTATACCTCTTCTTCTGCGCGTCCTCCTCCGTCACGGTGAGCGGGTTCTCACTGATCTTGAGCATCTCAATGTAAAGCGCCTTGTCATCGTCCGCTAACCCACCACCACCAATATTCCCGTTCCCAGCACCTCCTCCTCCTCCCGTAACCCCATTCCCACCACCATCACCACCTCCACCGGTGGTAGTCCCATAACCACCGCCGCCATAACCACTATACATACTACTCGCATACCCCGCAATCCCCAACCCGCCAACCTCATCCCCATAACCCCCATCCCAAACTCCATCCTCCTCCTCAACAATAGAAGCAGGATACTGCCAACTCCCATTCACATACTCCTGGTACTCAGGCTCCACCTCCCCGGGCGCAATCTCGCTCGACACCACCAGCGGCAAGTGGTGCGGGTGGCTGACGTAGCGGGCGTAGTCCTCTGCCTCGGCGGCGCTGACGGTCGGGTTGAGCGAGGAGTGCACCACTTTGGTGAAGGTCCATTGGGCGGCCCGGGTCTTTTCTTGGGCGGAAAGGTGTTTGTTTCCTCCTGAAGGGGTGGTGGCGTAGTCATTGCTTCCGTTGCTGTTTGGGGGTTGTTGATGGTGGTGATGAAGGTTGGAGTGGTAGTTGTTGAAGGGCCGGTAGGGGTAGTCGAGTTCGGTGCTTTCGCTGGTGTTGTTGTTGCTTGAGGATTCTCTGCCGAGAGTTCGGGCGTTGGTGGTGTTGGTGGTGTTGGGGTCCGAGGGGCCAGTGGTGGAGGTGGTGTTCGCGGCGGTGGCAGCTTCTTTGGCGCCGCTGCCGGGGAGCCAGCGCTGGAGAGAGAGGCCACGGTGGTGATGAGATGCATTACCGCCGTTGTTGTCTGCTGCAGCAAGAGCGGCTTTCTCGTTCATCGCAGAGGCATTGTCCGCGGCGTCCTCGGCTAGATGATTCGTTCCGGAGAAGTGGTCGGCGTGATTGGCAAATGTCACCTCTTTCTTGACCTTCTTCCTGTCATGCGTATGGTCGCCGTCACCGGTCCCGCCTACCTCGCCGCGCACGCGGAACGGGCTAAGGTCGTACCGGCCGTCCTGGGTGGACTTGAAGGGTATGTACCTGAGGGTCGAGTTCATACGGTACGCAAACATCTTGAGGAAGGACGAGAGGGTGGAAGGGCGGTAGTACTCGAGCCAGTAGTCGTCATAGCGGGACACGGGGATCTTGCTCTGGGGTGAGCCGGGCTTGATGGCAGGATATGGAGGCAGGACGCGCGGTTGGAGAAACTCGGGCGTGTACCAGTTGATATAGTGGCGCTTGCGCTTTTCGAGCCACTGCCGTGGATCTTCGTGGTGCAGGTAGTAGTCGGTAGCCAAATCCCAGAGCATGGGCTGTCCTTGAGCGAAGATGTAGTTACCGAGGAACAGGTTGTAGGCCTCTTGGCGTTGACCGTCGAGAAAAGAGTTGTTGTAGTACCGCTTGAAACTCTCGATCATGTCGCGCGAGTGACTTGTCCACTGGTTGATCTTTCGGTATGTCTCCATGGTGTTGACTAGCTGTGAGCCGCCATACTGGACGGCAATGGTGTCCCCGTGGTCGTGGTACATGTGCGTAAACAGGTTGACGGCGTCGGTGTCGTAGTTGACGGTGGTGTCCTCCAAGATGCCCAGAGCATGGAGCTGGTGGCCTAGGGCACGCTTGCCAATCACGAACTGGGCCGCATTGGTCCGGTCCAGACAGTCGATACAGTTCGTCCGTGCGACCCCGTTCTGGACCCGGATCGGGGAAGTGTGGCCGTCGCCATTGTGGAAGAAGCCGGTCGTGAGGACGACGTCCTCGGCGATGCTTTCCAGTGTCCCGATGACATCCTGGTCCCGACTCTTAGCGGCTCGCGACATGTCCCAGGCACGGTAGATGATCTTGCTTTCCTTGGGTAAGAACTGGTTAAGATATTCTACAGCGCGGGTGAACTCGTCCAACAGTTTACTTTCACGCGGGGTGCGCTCCCGCGCCTTGACCAGATTCAGGACATAGATGGGTGCTCCGTACCGCTCAAAGAGGTTATCAAAATGCAGAGCTGCTGCTGTGTAAAAGGGGTCAACGAGGTTCAGCTCGATGGGTGGCTTGGGTGTTACGCCCGTGTTGTCCTGAGTCCAGTGCAGTGGAATGGAGCCTCTGTGCTGTACATACGAGGTGTAAGCTGGGCTAGCAAAGAACTTGGGACCCGGGGCATGAAAAGAAGTGGTGAGCGACTCGGACACAATCTGTTCAGTCTCGACATCGTTGGCTACATATCCCAAGTCGTTGGCGCCTCGTTTGAGGAATCTTGCACCGGCAAAGAATCTGCTTCTTCTGGCAATGACAGTGACGTGGACGGTTCGGCCGTAGATGGAGATGGCGGCTTGGTCAAAATAGCCGTGGATGATGGGGCGACACCAGTCATAGGGGGTGTTCAAAGCGTTGGCAACAGGTTGGAGCAGGTGGTTATTCCAGACGAACATGGAATTCAGGTCATCCTCCATAGGGCCAACCTGACCATTCAACAACGCCTCTCGTTCTCTGGTGATGTTGTACTGCAATGTGCGAGTGATATCATACGAGTAGCTGTAGTAAAATGATCTTGTCAAGTCCAGGTGGTTTAAGATGCCCAAGAAGCGCGTCTCCTCGGTATTGCGCTGGTCCGTCTTGAAGCTGGGGGAGGTCAAGGGAATGAGATCGGTGCCGTCGATTTGGTAGACATAGTGGCCGCCTATCATGGCAACTGTGCTCTTTTTGGTTATGAGCAACATGTACCATGGGCCGGTGAACTTGATGAAACCAAGCAGACCCCAGGTAGTGCAGCGCAGCTTTAGACCACCAGTACCCTTGTTGCCGTCGTCGATGGTGTCCAAGAGCTGGTTCATGTCTTTCTGTGAGTATATGGTCTTGTCGTCCGTAATGCTAAGCTCCGAGGCGTCTTCTGCGGTGCGGTCGATCTTGAGGATTCGGTAGCGTTTCTCAGTGACATCGCCGCCGACCATGTAGAAGCGACTGGCGGTTTCGTAGAGACTGAACTTGTGCATCTTGTGCTTCAGTCTGGACCGTGGTCGTTCGCCAGAAGTGCCATCCATCCTGCCCACATCTTCCTCTTCTTCCTCGGGGGCTAGAGGACCTGAGCGTGGGGTCGGATCTGGACTGGTGGTGCGGTGGAAGGGCTTGGCGACGGCGGGCTCGTCATCGTCGTTGTCGCCGACGCCAACGCCGGCACGCGATGATTTGTTCTTTCTAGAGCCTTCGGACTCGGCATCGGCACTGGCGTTATTGTGAAGGAGAGGGAACGGTGGTTTAACCGACCGTTCGCTGTCTGAATCGGCCGGAATGGGGCTCTTTGGCTTGTTTGGGTCCCGATCGGAACCTGAAGGGGGCGGAGGTGATATCGAACTCGAACCGCCAGGCTCGGGAGCGCCGCCGGCGAGGGCGCTGGCAACAGTCAGGTCGCTTTCGGCTGCCTCTGTCATCTTGTCCGCTTTCCCTGACAGGGAGTGTACGTCTTTTATGCAGCAGTCGACATGACTTGGTCAAAGCCCAATGTTGATGATGATGTTGAGCAGAAGTTCAGATAAGATGCCCCTGTTGATAGGCGATGATGTAACTGAGCTCCCCCGGGGCTCTGGGCCCTCCCCGCTATTTCCACACAACTACAGGGGCTAGCTTCTGTTGGCCGGGTGACCCGGGGTAGTCACCTGCACAGACCTCTTCCAAGACTTCACCTCAACCACTCCCGTCCAACTCTTCCCGATTCTCTTCCCACTGGCATCTCCATCGGGGAGACAATACGAGCTTTTCATATTTGGCCATCTGCTACATCAGAGCTTCTCTTTGTCCAGTGGGCAATATTATCACTTCTTTACCATGTTCATATGTGTTCTCTTCCCGTTCCACCACTCACGCCATTGTCTCAGTCTTCCATACGTGGACTAAAGATGTGACGCCTATACTTTGATTTAGGTTGGCATACGAGCTGGATGGGGTTTCTCAAACTTGTACGTCTCGCTCAGTCTTTTGGACGCATGTTTCCAACCACGCTGGAGATTACTCTTGTAGGATCCAAATGGTTCTCCTTTGCCATGGTGAGATGGATGGGATACATCTCCTCTTCTCCTTTGAGAAGAATCATGATGTCAAGGGGGACTGTTTGCCTCCTACCCGTTCGAATGGTCGTAAGAATAAACCGAACACGTCACGGTCAGTACATCACACCTTGGATACACTCTTTCACGCATCCAAGCGTCTTTATTACACATTTAAACCCAAACTCGAGGCAGTTCCTAGATGGGAAATCCCTAATGGACTGTGGCCGATATGTTTCTAAATTATTGTGATCCCTATCACAGTTTTGTAACGGCCTTTCCCAACCACAACGAGCGGTATTGGACTGTCCGTGTTCGGTTTATTCTTACGACCGCTCGCCGTCGTCACGGCCGTCTGTTTCTGCAGAAGGCGAATCCGACGAGCAAGGCCCTCATCATCTCATATGGGTATAGTAAACCTACCAGTCGCTCGAAACTGGGTATCATAGCCGTGATATCTCATGATGGCGTGCAGGGCTCGGGTTCCGATAAGGAGCACACTGACCTCGAACTCATCGACAGGTTCAAGCCCCGTGATGCCACGCATCTGGGCACCCTCGGGTCGGGATGCTCCATCAAAGCCGCACGTCCGCCCGGTAAACATCAAGGCGGCCGTGATCTCGTAACGCAGCATCGATCAACAGATGGACTTCCAGGCATATCCTCACAGATAGGAGCATGGAAACGAGATATTGGTCACTGTCCATGTTTGCCTTCATATTCTAGTTCCACCACAGCTTTGGAAGGAGAGGGTTTGTCAGTACCTGGGCGGCGTTCAGGTTTGATGAGTGCTGCAGCATTACAACTTTCATCTCAACTCGTCCCAGGCACCAACATCTTTCGAAACTTTCTCTGCCGTGTCGTGGTCCTCTTCGTTTCTACAACCCCGCGTCACGGAGACAATCATCGCCAGGTCCTCCTCCTTTTGTTGCGCTAGGCCCCTCACTCCTGGTCACCGGCACCTCGAGGATTATAAAACAACTCCCAATCGAGTTGAAACAGCTTTTCTGGGGCTTCTAGCGTGCCACCACATTCTGATCCAAGATTGCACCATGTCCAGCGCGTAAGTTCTTCCCAAACTGACGCTGATATGATTCTTTGACTGACACCTCATTACAGACTACCCACTGCTCTAGGAGCAACAGCGACGGTGGAACAACCCTCAATTGTTGTCACGTCGTCTCCGGATAGTACTGTAGCAGCCACACATGAGCCTGGCGCAAGCTTGTTGACAGAGACATGCGCGACGCCTGAGTACACCCTACTTAATTTGGGGCCATCGGCTGTTTACGCGGCCTTTGTTGGTTGCGTAAACACCAGGCAAGACTGCTGCCCTTCCCAGCCTCAATCATCGGTAGCAATAGGGTTCAATGACGTGTATCCTAAAGCACCGAATCCCGAACAGGCGGTACTAGAACGCTGCCCCGCCGACTACTATTCAATTTCAGCCAGTTGCTGCCCCAAGTAAGCACATTCCTGCGTTTGAGGAACGTAACTCAGACTGGAATCATGCTAACCATGACTTTGCAGCGGTTACACCCCATGGACGACTGACCTGGGAGGCCAGACACCGTGCTTCAGTGTCCTCCAAGCAGCAATGACACCACCTCCCATCACGAATGCGAATACGGTGTTATCCAATGGGGCTAAGCCGACCGTTGTCGTCTCCGACGTTGTCTATGCCATCCAGTACCCCGTTCAAGAGCCCATTAACAGCTTTCCTGCGGAGGCTATCGCTGGTACTGTGGCGACCGTTCTTGGACTGCTAGTTCTTGCAGGGCTGGCCTTGTTTATCCACAAACGGCGGCAAAGGCGGGAGTTTCTCAACCTGGGAAACGAGCTGAACGACCTCTACGGCCCTAAAAGAACTCAGGAACCTTCAAATACATCGCGACCAGGAGTACAAGCCAGTGGACCAAGCAGTTTCCAGGACGATAGGACGCTCTGCGAAGATAGGGCATATTCGCGGAAGTCGAAGGAATCGGACCGGAGTCAGCCACAACAGTCGCCCTTTGATGGACACCAATTCGTGGTCCCGCCCGTCAACCTCCCTGAGCAGAATGACCTTCAGAAAACGTTGACCCATGAACAGCAACCGGCGAAGCAGGGACTCAACCAGGGATTCAAGTTGCGGGTTGACGAGCCCGACCAACAAGCCCCTCAGCATGAGCAAAAGCGATCAAATATTAATGCCACCGAACATGATCTTACCACCCCTTCGCCGTCCGAACTGGAAAAGCCACAACTACCCGCACTCTCGTGCCAAGAGGAACCGAACGCAGACGACATAGTCAACACAAGCAACTCCGGGGATGATACGTTTGCTTCGACTCACAGCAGCTATCACTCCGGCCTTCTTCAAGGTCTGACAGTTGAAACTGCCCGTCCAGAGCGCCTCTCACGTGTCTACGCCAAAATGGTCTACACTTCTGGACAGACCAGTATCAAAAGAAAACCAGTCAACAACACGGAAGAGCAGAAAGATGACAGGAAGTCTTCGTCGGGGGAGGAAGCGAAGTGAATATCGATCATTTCCTTTCATCTTGGGGAGAACGAAGAGGGAAGGGGGAACGTTGTGGATCACTGTTTGACCATTAGGTATCAGATGACGCAAGCTCATATCTGGCGCAAGTCGTACTTGTGGGTAGGTGAGACCTGGGCATGAGAGGAGGGCTTATCGGTTGTGTTCAAGACCGGGGCAATCCGGGGTTCGGTCAAGATCACAAAGCGGGATTTGGGGCTCTATGGTGATGTCAATACACCGCAAACACGTGTGCTTACTGTTAGACAGACGGGACCACGGTGAACACATGTTACCAGTAGCTGCGCGTCTTTTTAATGAGGAAAAGAAACATTCGATCAATTCCGTTGTGGAACCAGCCCTTACCCAAATCATTCCGTGTCCATGCCTTTCACGCCTATTACGACGATCAAACACCTGGAGCGCCTCCTTCCAGGAACAGAAAGTGGTTAGACACCATGACTGCTTTTGTACGACAACCGAGAAACACACGCTCTCTGGCAAGCCAAATCACACCGAGATTCCATGTTCCAGGCGCAATATCGAGCTCATCGATCATTGAACACAGTCTCTAGCTTACGAGACCTTCCAGATGTATCTACCCTCTCCTCTAACCTGCACAACGACATCAACCACAACGGCCCATGGCATCCACAACCCAGCGTACAAACGGCCAATACGAGACAAATTCACAAACCCAGTGGTGATCAGGTACACAAATACACATGTAAGACGGTAGTTCTACTAGTTCTAGACCTTTCACGGTGTAACCGCACTTATACCAAACATCTGGCACCAAGCCAATTACCTACAATCTGACTTGATGCACTGTGACGTGCCGAGGGTTCGATCAAGGAGACCAGCTCATCTCCCGCCCGGTTTGGCCAAAAGCTTGTTTCCTATGGTAGCTGATGTGCAAAGGGGATCCCGGTTTGGTGGAATTCCCAGATGGGTAGGATGGAAGGAGGGAGGGAGGGATGGATGGATGGATGCCCGACTTGGGCTGCTGCAGGTACATAAAGCCATGGTCGGTCTTTGGAGGGCTGCTCGGGCTGATGAGGGGGGGAAGGAGAACGGTAGTTTGTTGTTTACTGTTATGACATGGCGATATTCTTTACGAAACTGATAATAACTTGGTGATATCCGACCGTAACTTCACCAGAATCCGTTGCTAATTTAGTACGACCGATATCCCAGCTATACACTCTACTGCCACTCCTCATTTGGTAAGCGTCTATCAACTAAACGATTGCCACTGTTAGAACAACAAGAAAACACCCTCTCCACTTTTACAAATATTCATCAAGTTCTAGATCAGCAATTTGGTTCGGCTACATTCGCCTTCAAGATGCCTCGTCTCATAAGACGACCAAGCGAATCCTGTCCTCCGGATCCGGCCCGCTATCCTCTTCCAGAAAGAAAGAATCGACGGGATGATGAGAAGAGTTCCCGCAGTCACCGTCGACAGTCCTCCCCAGCGTTGGCACATCGCCGAAGGGAGAGTCGAAGAAGTACATCAGTCGTCAGCAACGTGGACCGCCGCTCACACTTCTCGACCATAGACGAGGACCACAAAGATGATCCGGAATCGGATTACAACCCGCGGGATGTTTATTACCTCAGCCACCCTCATGAACCAAACGATGACAAGGATGATGAAAAGAGTCAATGGAACTTGGACTTGGAAGCTGGGGATGCCACGCCGATGAAACGGAGAGACGGGTATGACGAAGATGCACGCTCTACTCGTTCACGAGACAGAATAAGACGACCATCCACCATTGGCACTCTCTCGCCGCGTACAAGGTCACCATTGGATCGAAGCCGTCGACAGTCAATGCGATCAGACCACGGAACAGATCATCACCGAAGAGGATCCATACGATCAAGACCAAGGCGGGAACCATATCAAGAAGTATCAGACTCCGAAACGGCCATCTCTCCTCGCACTCGTCGTCGTCGCCGCCATATCAACCGCTCACCTACACCTCCACATAGAGGTTCAGTCATCCACGCCGGTTACTACCCCCGTCCACGTCCCAGATCCAGCACAATCCCCCACCACCACCACACCAATTACACCTCCGACGACGAAGACATTCACCACAACAACCCCCGCCGATACCACCGCCGCGCACACTCCAACCCACCTTCGGCCTCCCGCCATCACTCCTACCAATCCCGCCGCCCCTCCCTCAACCTCGCAACCCTCAAATCCTCCCCCAAAACCGCCTCCCTCCTCAAAGCCGCTTCCCGCGCTCTCGAAGCCGGCGCCGCCGCCGCCCTCAAACTCCGCAAAGACTCGCCCTCTACTCCCCTTTTTTCCGCCCAATCAGGCTCCAAAATCGCCGCGGCCGCGCTCGGCGCCGCGGTGGTAGACGGGTTGATTGAGCATGAGCATCGACGCCATCCGAAGTTGATGCGGAAGGGCGGGTTGCGACATCATGTGGTTAAGCAGGTGGTGCAGAGGGGGGTGGCGGGGTTGGTGGGGGGGGTTTTGGAGGAGGGGTTGACTGGTGGTGGCGGGAATGGGAAAGGGGATGGTGGGGATGAGGGGAGGGGAGGAAAGACAAGGAGGAAGGAGAGTGTGAAGAGGGTTGCGAAGGGGATGGTTAGGGATTATGAGAGGTGGGAGAAGGGGGGTGGAAAGGGGGATGAGGGGAAGGGAAGTCACGGTGTGAAGGAAGAGAATGAGCGGGAGAATGAGAGAAAGGGTGACAGAGGAAGAAGGGGGAGCGAGAGAGGGAGGGATACGGACGGAGAGGGAAGAAGGGAAAGGACGAGGGGGAGCGAGAGGGGAAGGGAGGGAAGTGTTCGTGGTAGGAGAAGATAGAAGTGATTTTTTCCGCGGAAGTTGGTGGTTAATAGCTCCACAAGTCGTAGTTGACGTTGTCGTTGAGAATACTTCAAATGACAAACCATAAATCTGATTCCGATGGAACGGTTCAAACGTGAGATATGATTCCGATCGGGAAGCTTGCCGATCAACATACCCGTGAACAAACAGAAATGCGGAATACGACGAGCCGAGGGGTTAACGTACCCGAAACATGTGAAAAGTTGTTGATTACATGGATACCTATTTGAGCATTCAACTGGGATGGAACTCCTGAGAAGAAAGCGTCACTGAAAATTTCGCCTTCGTAGTCAGCTTGATGTCAACATATCAAATATGTGATCATTGTTACACAGCATTCAGCTACGCCGTCATTGAGTACACCTTTCTGCCATCCAAAAGTCAACTAACATGCAAAGCCAAGCTTAGCATTGAGTCTGGCATGTGAAGCCTGCATTGAATGGCATGAAGCAAGAGCAATGTGCGTGTATGCAGTGGTTATTGGTGGCTTCTTCGTATCCAGCTGAAGTACCTCATAGCAGAGTCAGATCTGAGACACAATCACTAATAACCTTACAGCTGCAACGAATCGGATTAAGTTAGCTATGCGGGATCGACATGTTGATGCAAAAGGATAAGAAACTTTAAAGTATCATCGTCCCCCATTTTCACCTCAACGTGACGACAAATCGAGGTCGACCAGAATGCACAGAAAGCGCCATTGACACTCGACAATATTTCGGCCTGGACCAGCCGTGCCTCCTACACTCAGCTCGGAAACCGTTCCAGGCGAGCCCAATCTCACGCTCACCCATCGGACTTCCTCCAACGGATTCCCGGAGTACCGAGTTGTGATAGCCGAAACGTGGAAGAAGAAAAGAAAAAGTTGGATGATGCCTTCCGGTCAAAACATACAAAACATTGAATGCGCTCAACCATGGTTACCAATTTAGCTTGAGAAATACTTGTTCTTGCTTTCTCTTTTTACTTGAAGTTCCAACGAAGGACTCCATCATCTGCTTTGTGTGGTTCCTACACTCTCTTCATTCCTCCTCCATCTCCCAGCGCGCCACTCAACTTTGGACTTACAGCAATAAAAAATCAAAGTTATACACAAACCAACACAAAAGAATTAGACGCAAGCAATTGCATTTTTGCAACTATGGGCTCCTCAATGCAAGAATCAAAGCCCAAGATGACCCGGGTCCTAGCCCTCCACGGCTACGGCACCAGCGGTGAAATCTTTCGATCACAAACAGGCAAGTTTTTCCCTTCTCCTCCTCATCAACCTCACTAACACCACCATCATCAACCACAGCCGCATTCCGCCTCAAACTCCCCAAAGAAACCTACACCTTCACCTTCCCCAACGCGCCCCTGCCCTCGGCCCCGACCGTCGGCGTCGACAGCATTTGGAACCAAACCCCCAAATTCTACGCCTGGTGGCCAGCCCAGTCCTCCAACACCTCAGAGATCCGGGCCTCGCACGACCACCTCGAAGAAATCTTGGCTTCAGAAAAAGAACCCTTCGACCTCGTCATGGGTTTCTCCCAAGGCTGCTCCCTAATCATGTCCTACATCCTCTACCGGTACCAGGAACACGTGCTTACCCGACCACCCGGAGAAAAATTTGAACTGCCGTTCAAGGGGGTGATGTTCATCTGCGGTGGGCCGTCGTTGCCGGTGCTCCAAGACTTGGGCGTGAAAGTGAGCGTAAGGGCGTGGGATGTGAATAACGCCACGGCTGCCTTGCTGCACAAGCGCACGGAGAAGTTGAAGTTCAAGGCGGATAATCCTGATACGATTAAACGGGGCGAGGGGCTGTGGGATGAGGTGGGGGATTTGCTTCATGATCCGACGTCCAAAAGGAAAGTGGATCCGAGAGATGTGTTTGGGTTGGATTTTACGGACCAGAATATGAGGAAGGCGGTGGGCGAGTTGGGAGAGATCGTGCCGACGGTGCATGTGTATGGTGGCAGGGATCCGAGGTGGCCGGCGAGCGTGCAATTGGCGCAGTTGTTTGAGGGTGGGATGAATGAAAGGTTTGATCATGGCGGTGGTCATGAGTTGCCGAGGACGACGGAGTGTTCGGTGAGGATGGCGGAGTTGATGGAGAAGTTGAGGAGGAGGGTTGAGGGTTTGGAGGGGGAGGAGTTGAGGAATTAGGTTACTGTTTGTTGCTCATTTTTGTTTTCGGTCTTGCTTTATATACTTATGATAGACATGAAAAGGGGATGATAGATGGTGGAAGGAATTATTGTTGGACAAGAAACGAAGAAGGAAAAGCATATCATATCATAGATTGGAGGCCTCAACTCCTAGTTAGCATGATAGCATAAAACGACTTTGTACCACATTGCCCACGTTCACTTTGCTTTACTTGTTCGCCATGTTCTATCTTGTCTATTCAAAAGACAAGAACCTTCCAAATACTTCACCCAGTGCCTCTACCTCGATATAACGTCTAACTCCGGCCATGCCAATGACCTTTTCACGCCCGACACTTTTCCTGTCCATCCCATTTTCTACCAGAGCCAATAATAGTCTATGTAGTTCACCAGCCATATCCCAAACAACAAGATAACCATGCAGGCCAAGTAACTATGCAAAAAGAAATCTTTCAAGCCCGTGATATCTATACTCCATCCCATGCTCAACTTTCTTCAAAGATATTTGTACAAGGTATATGTCTGTTTATACAACACGTTTCGACGTGAGCTGCTTCGCAAACGCCTGCTCCCTCTTCGCCGTTTCCCTCATCTCCTCCTCCGTCATCTCTGACCAATTTTCCTCCCTATCATCTCTCTCAGCGTACCCTCCTTCCTCCGTCAGCACGTCCTCGGTCTCGTTGAAGACGCTCTTCTCCAACTCCGAGTCCGCCCTGATCATGGTCTTGACAGCCTTAATGGTGAGCGGGCACTCCGCATTCACCCACTCCAGCTGCTTGGCTGCCTCCCTCTGCCAGTTGGCCAAGTTCTCCAAGTCCATGTACTTCTTGGCCATGATGATCAAGGTGTGCGAGATGGGTCTCGGGCGCTGCGGGAACGAGCCGAGACGACGGAGCTCGAGCGGCAGCTGGTTCTTCACGGCGGACCGCGCGCGGACCCGATACCAGCCCGTCCAGTTGGGCATGAGACGCGCCTCGCACTCGCCGAAGGCCTCGCGGTAGCGGTTCATGCGGGCAAGCGATTGGACGTAGTAGTTCCAGTTCTTGCTGTCGAGCTCGAAGCCGCGGTTGCGGACGTCCTTGACGAACTCAATGAGCCCGTCGGCGTCGTTCTCGTCGTAGAAGACGCGCTGCATCGTCTTGATGGGATCGCACAGGATCCACTTGTAGGGACCAACAAGATGCTGAGCTGGTGTTTCCGCGCCCTCAGCACCGGTCTCCCGTGGCTCCTCGGCGACTTCACCGAAGGCTTGTAATGTCGTCTTCCTGAGAATGTGGTTCCAAATCTCTCTGACCCGGTCAAACTTGCGCTCATGGTAGTCGGCAAGCATCATGTTGTTGAGCAGACGGATTGGCAGGTTGCTAGGCTCCTTTGCAGACGGGAACTGGGTGGTGTACAACTCCATGATCTCTTCAAGTGTGCCGAAATCCCGGATCTGTGTCAAGATGAACAAGATGTGGGCAAACTGGTTGACCACGGGGCGAGGAGCCTCATGCTGGCCCTTTCCAGTCTTCTTCAGGGTCTGTTTGAACAGGTTGATGGCCTTTGTAATGTAGTACTTTTGATCCTTCTGCCACCTCTGGTGACCGGGGAGCTGTTGCCATCTACCCAAGGCGTCAATGACTCGAGTGGTCCGCTCGGCCATCTCGGGTTCTTGGCGCTTGGACAAAATCTCGTTGAGTTTGAGGGCCATGTGTGGTTCACGACTGTGAATGAAGGAGGCCATAAGGAGAACGTAGTGTTCGGGCGCGGGCTTGAAAAGGTTATCCTTCTCGGAAGCCCGCAAAAGGTTCAGAGCGTGATGCGACTGTCTGCAGTACATCAAGCCGTACAAGAGATGGCTATAGGTCTCATTGTCGCTGGGAATCTTGTTCTCATGCATGTATTCCACGAGGTTGTACAACCCCTTGAGGTCTCGCCTCCTGGCATGATGATTGAGAAGGGTGTTGAAGAGAACGGTGTACTTGCCGGGAAGTGTGCCCTTCTTCACCGTCTGCTTCACAATGACCTCGGCCTCACGGAATCGGTCATTCTGGCAGTAAGCTTCAATCAAGCTGTCCACCATTCCCACATCAGGCTTGATGCCGTCAGCCTTTGCGGCGTTGAAAAGCACCAAGGCAAATGAGAGATCACCACGCACGGCGGCCATACCCATGACAGTTCCATAAGAATATGAGTCCGGCTTTCCAACCTCATCCAAACGCTCAAAGGCCTCGAGACAGCCACTGTAATCGGATGCTTTTGCGTAGGCATTGAGCAAGATGTTCCAATGAACAGTCTTTGGTTTACCCATGCCCGCCTGCTCCAAACAGTTTTCTAGCACCTTGCGAGCCGCTTCAGGGTTACCGTTGCGCGCGTGCACGTGCATCAGACTCGAGATGAGCGACATATCTCGCGCGGCTTCTGCTGGGAGATGCTTACGGTACTCGTTGGCCAGACGTGTTACCGACTTTGTATCACCACGGCCAGCATAGAATGCCAGGAACTTTTGGTAAACTCGCTTCTCAAGAGCGTCGTAGCGGCTGTACCAATCCTTCAAGACGAGCTCCATGCCGCCAGCGTCGGTAGGATAAAAGATGTCGAGCATGGCGCGCAACACCCAAATGCGAACCTCGGCCTTGGGTAGTTGACGGTACTTCTTGTAAGCCTCCGCCGCAGCTCTGGTCTTGCCCTGTTCGATAGCCAGCTTGATGAAAGCCTCGTACGCTGATGAATCCGCAGCATGGCGAAGAAGGACAACTGCGTCTGTGGGCGAGAATAAGCGTAGTGACTTGGTGGCAAGAACTCTGACGAAATCTGCGATCTCCGTATCGACTGCTAGTACAGGGTTGGGCGTGGACTCTGTATCGGCCAGAGACTTTGTTTTGGCCGACTTGGTCTTGGCGGGCTTGCTGGCCTTTTTGGCCGGCGCTTTTGGCGCAACAAACTCGACAAACTCGGCCAGCTTATCCCGAAAGCCGGGCACGGAAGCCAGTGTTTTGAACTCGACAGTAAGCTTTTCAGAGTCCTTGAAGCTGGTAAACAACTTCCAAATGTCCAAGGCCAGCTGCCACGAAGAGGTGTTGAATGCGTGTGCCATGACATCATCAAGTCCTTGATGAAGACCTCTCTTCTTGAGGGCATCGGCAAATAGTATCTTCGCATTGTCCACGTCGTCCAAGACAAATTCAGCCTTGATAGCGGCTTTGATTATGGGTTCCGTCCACCGCTCGACAGGCACCGTGGCGAACAGCTCGCGGATCCTCCAAGCATCAACCGACCGACCGGACTGCGAAAAGTTGGCCATGACCTCGCCCTTGAAACCCTCCTGCTCGTTGGGCTCTAGCTTGTTGTAAGCCGTCCATATCTGCTCGTGCATGGGACCGAACTCTGACGGCTCGAGAAGCTCCCGCAGTGCCCGAGGGCCAGATTTTCTGGAAACCTTTTGGGGCCTTCTGTCTTGTATCACGCCACTCTCCTGCTCATTCCAGTACTGTTCGAAAAGGTCGGCGTTCATGAACGAGTCGTCCTCTAGCGGTTCGTTTTGCGGTTTTTGCGCAGCACCGGAGCTGTTATTGATGGCAGAACTGTATAATCGTGTCGCATTCCTGCGAGTCTTGTGCGCCGGTTCGAGAGATGGGAGTCGAATGGGGAGAATTTTTCGGAGGAGGGCGGCCGTTCCACTTGGGTATAAGAAGTCGAGCAAGAACATGGACGCCTTCATGGGCTCTATCTTGCTTTCTAGCCTCATCGTCTGCGAACTACTCGGGGTCTGCGTCGGTGTCGGTGCCAGTGTCGAGTCTCGCAGGAGGGCCTGGTAGGCATCGAGGAGTTCAAGTTCGGAGGCGCCATGTTGCCAGAAGGCTGTGTGTAGTTGTCGCTGGCTCTTCAACGAGGTTCTGGCGACGGGGAGAACTCTCTGGAGGCTGCATGTTTCGAGGCTCGCCGCCGTCCTCTCCAGCATCGCGTTGGAATTCGGAGGCCCAGCCAGCTGGCGTAGTTAATGGATTAGTCGTGGGTGTTGGTCGTCTCTCTCGGGCATGTTCCGCTCTCGTTTGTTTGTTTCTCGCTCGTCTCGGCTTGTCTTCCGTTATGATGTCGAACTGGGAGAGCCAAGTAGTCGACCCTGGGTGTTCCGGAACAGAGTCTGGGGGCGTTTGTGAGGGAGACAATAGCTCCAGAAAGCTAGGTCGTATGAGACTTAGGATAGCTTCCGGATCGGGGTAAGAGAAAACAACGCTGTCGGGTTGCTCGGTCGCAATTCGCGGGACTAACAGCAAATACAGACAAGACAAGACTTTGGCTGTCGCAGCACCCAGCCAAAAATTTTGAGCGCGATTCGACCAATTCACGGCGCGAAGTGGGGCTCACCTACCTTACGACATGGCCGCCCAGCCCGCCCGCGCCGTCCCAAAAGCTCCCGTCCCAGCAACGGGCAGAGACGGCGTGTGAGCTCTCCCGGCCCGGTGGAGCCCCCTATCTCAGATCTCATCGGGGGTGCCAATCACTGAAATTCGACTGCTGCCAGCTGTTCCATGCTGGCCCGACGCCCGGAGCTGAGAGAGACGGGAAGCGGCTTCTTCTTCATGCGGGGCAATTGGGGACAAGAGCTGCCCACGCCCCACACTTTCCAGGTTCAACCTCCACGTCGAGACTCGAGCCGCCAAACGTACAAGGAGGCCGTCTCTAGTTTCACAACCTTGCCGCCAGTCAACACCTCAAACTCTCTACCATACCACGGCATTGACCGAAGCTACCTGCCCCACGCTAAATTGCGCAACGGGTGCTTCATAATTCCTTTCTATAGGACCCCCTAGTTGCGACCGGAGCGCACCACCTAATCACACACACACACACACACACACTCAACCTCAACACCATGGATATCACAAAGTTCGTGGTATCCCACCGGGAGAACGCCCTCCTTTATGGCGACTATGCGACATACCGCGCCCAACTCTCTAGGAAGCTTCTCAACTCCCGCAAGAAGCTCAACATTGCGACCAAGAGCCGAGGCAAATTCCACCCCAAGGCCCAGATCACCGCTGAGCAGATCTCGGACAACCATGAGTACGACTCCCTGCTGTGCTTGTCGTGGTGGCCCAATGCTCGTCGGCCGTCCCACTAACCTCGCGTCTCTCCCAGATACCTTCATCTCGCGCTTCTCACCGCCGAGCGTACATGGGCTCATGCCATGTCCATGAAGGCTTCCCACGCTGCTGATACCAAGGGCATGACCAGTAAGGCCAGGTCACACATCGTTTCCAGACTCGAAAAGGGTGCCCGCACCGCCGAGAAGCTCGCAGATGCGCTTTCCCAGGACGCAGTCAGCGGCGCCAACCCCAACGACATCCTCGAAGCCCGCGCCTACGCCGCCTTGCTCAGGGGCGCCGCCAACTTTGAGAAGCAGAGCTGGGAGGACTGTATCGTCAGCTACGCCGTTGCCCGCATGATCTATAGTGCTCTCTCGACTTCCACCAAGGGCGACATCTACAAAGACCTCCTTACCGATACCATCGACCCCTCGATCCGATACGCTGCGTACCAGGCCAAGATTCCTCGCACCCAACCGATTCCCTCGATTGCCAAAAAGGCGTTCGCTAAAGCCGACGATGACTTGGTGGACCGTGTCAAGGCTGTCAACCCCAGTGTTTTGGAGCAGGGCGATGTGGCCATGACGGGAGTCACTGGCGCTGAGGGAGCACCCACTACCATCACATGGCGCTCGAGGGAGGTAAAGATCGAGGACGCGTCTATTGCCGGTGCCTGGGCTTCGGTACAAACAGCAAAGGCCAAGCTGAACGAGAGGCTATCCTCTGCCAGCTCGCTGGCGCCCAAGGACAAGGCCGCCGCCTACGATGACATCTTGGCCGCGACCCAGGATGCTGTCGATGCGACAAAGCAGGCCATTGACGAGCTCCGTGGAGAGGGTGTCACACAGAGCGACCCTCGCATGCAGAGCCTGCAGATCACAAGGACGGCTGTCAACTTTGAGATGATCAGCTGGCGCATTGGCCGCAACAGGGTGCTCGCTGGCGAGCTTGACGGTGCGCGCGCCACTTTTGAGGACCTGTCCAAGAGGAAAAAGAAGGCACAGGAAGCTGAACAGGCGTCAGAGAGGCCCAAGGAGGAGGCTCCCGGTCGTCAGATTGCCAAGCTAAAAGAGAAGGTGGTCCTGTATGATGGCACGCTTCAGAGTTTGGAGACCATCACAGAGTTGCCTGGTGTTGCGAACGACCAGGAGCTCTTCACTCGTCTGCAAGCCACTTCGCAATACTTTACTGCTCTCAAGTATGTTTCCCTCATCCAGCATTTCCTCTGCTACCCATAACTAACACCCCCAACCCCCCAGGTCCCTAGCAATCGCCCGCTCCCACTCCCTAGCCCACAACGACGCCAACGCTCTCGCCCTCATCCGCCACGCCCTCACCCAAACCGAGTCCGCCCTGCCCATCCTTTCTTCCACCTCCTCGGAAGAACCCTCGCCAGCCCGCAACATCCTCGTCTCTGCCGCCGACATCCAAACCCTGCACTCCCTCCTCAACGGCGAGCTCCAGCGTGCCCGCGCCCTGGTGGAGATTAGCGAGCACAACAAGAACAAGAAGCCTCAGCCTGGTAGCAGCAACGGCAAACCCCTAATCGGCCAACTAGCCAATTACCCCTCCAGCGGCCAGGTCAACCTGGAGAACATTGTTGTGTATCCGCCTAAGCTGGAGGCGATCCCTGTTAAGCCTATTTTCTTGGATGTGGCGTGGAATTATATTGATTATCCTGAGAAGGTTGTTGGAGAGAAGAAGCAGGAGGCAAAGGTTGAGCAGAAGCTGCAGCAGAGTGCTGAGGAGGCTCAGGAGGAGGAGGAGGAGAAGCCGAAGAAGAGGGGATGGTTTGGGTTTGGTCGGTAGAGGATTGTCATAGGCGGGGTGTACTAGGTCGTGTGTATTCGAAGCAGTGTTGTTTGGTTAAAAATATAATGACGGGTTACTCGAGTTGAAAGAACGCCTCCTTGTGAACTTTCGAGATAATATTTGGGCACAAGTGATATGATCTGATAAGCTTTGGTATCTTTCCCGCCGCTATGACTGACTTGCGGAGAACATGGATGCGAGCTGTTTTTGATATATTGATCACCCGGCGACAAGCTATCAGCTCTGGCCGTTGAGTTGGGATGGATGACGTAGAAAATACTCCGTCATGGTGATTTCGTAACCCTGACTAGTACTAGTTACCTAGAGGCGTGCTTCTTCTCTCATTTTGACCAAAGCTTCAACACAAGGATTCACTCGCAATTCTTTCTTCGTGTGCTTTTAGCGTGTTTTTCTCGCCTCGAACTTTGTTTTTTCATCATCTCGAACTCTGGGAAGTGAGCCCAGTTGAGAGTTCCTTTGGGGCCGTCATTTGTGTTGTTTCGTTATTACTCCACTCCACCCGTTTAAATTGTAGAGGTCCGATAGCGGCTCGAGCGGTTCGGTCTTATATCACTCGTGACGAGACGAAATATTCCAACTCTTGGACAGACAACAACGGCTGACTATCACCACTCACAATCACATACAACTGACACCGCAGGTAGGGGAGGAGATGGTATAATTGGCAAACGCTTGCTATTCAATTCATTTCAATCATGAGGGGAGAGAGTGATTATGTCGAACTTTGTTGTCCGTTATGGTGCATCGTATACAATGACATGATATATACATACACGCACCCCCGCCTTTTCCAGCACCTTGCTGCTTTGCCCTCCCGTTGCCCATGCAAAAAAACCAACCCATCAGATCATCTCATCTCATCATTTTTGTTTTGGATGGAAAAAGATATCGTGAAGATAGATGAAGATTTTTATTTGTAACCCCAGAAAACGCAGGAAGTTTTGATGCTCAAGAACGCCTTCCGCCCTCTGCGGTATTAAACACAGGATCCAGCATGATAGACCTCAAAGAGAAACATGACATATGAGTACAAGGGAGAAATACACAGTGGAGATCATTCCGCTCCAACCAAGCTTACTTAGACACCGGGGAGAAAGAAGTATGTGGGTATAGTGAGAAAACGTGAAAAGGAAAACCTAAAACTGTTGGGCTTCAGATTTACTCCTTCTTCTCGCCCTCAGTGTTCTGCTGCTGCTGCTGCTCGCCAGACTCAGCACGGGCCTTGTGCATCTTGTCGAAGAGGTTCAAGCTGGCAACCTGGAGGTCGTCGATCTTCTCCTTGAGGGCATCGGCAGAGATGGTCTGCTCGCCAGACTGGCTCTTGGCGATGAACTCGCGGAGGCTAGTGATCTTCTCACGGATGGCATCAGCCTCGGTCTTGTCGAGGCGGTCAGCGTACTCGTTGAGAGCCTTCTCGGTGTCGTTGAGAACGCCATCGGCCTTGTTGGCGGCCTCAATGGCAGCCTTGCGCTCCTTGTCCTGCTCAGCATACTTCTCGGAGTCCTCAACCATCTGCTGGATCTCAGACTCGGAGAGACCGGAGCCGGAGGCAATGGTGATGGACTGGTCCTTGTTGGTGGACTTGTCCTTGGCGTGGACGTGGACGATGGAATCGGCGTCAATGTCGAAGGTGACCTCGATCTGGGGAACACCACGGTGGGCAGGGGGGATACCGACAAGCTGGAAGTTGCCGAGCATCTTGTTGTCCTTGACGAGCTCACGCTCACCCTGGAAGACCTTGATCTCGACGGCGGTCTGGAAGTCGGCAGCGGTGGAGAAGACCTGGGACTTCTTGGTGGGGATGGTGGTGTTACGGTTGATCAGACGAGTGAAGACACCGCCGAGGGTCTCGATACCGAGGGAGAGGGGAGTGACATCGAGGAGGAGAAGGTCCTTGACCTCACCGGAGAGGACGGCACCCTGGATGGCAGCACCGATGGCAACAGCCTCATCGGGGTTGACGGACTTGGCGGGGTCACGGCCGAAGATGCCCTTGACGGACTCGGCAACCTTGGGCATACGAGTCATACCACCGACGAGGATGACCTCCTGGATGTCCTTGGCCTGGAGGTTGGCATCCTTCAGGGCCTTGCGGACGGGCTCAATGGTGCGCTGGATGAGGGGATCAACCATGGCCTCGAGCTGAGCACGGGTGAGCTTCTGGTTGATGTGCTTGGGGCCGGAGGAGTCGGCAGTGATGAAGGGAAGGTTGATGTCGGTCTGGAGGGAAGAAGAAAGCTCGATCTTGGCCTTCTCGGCGGCCTCACGGATACGCTGGATGGCCATGCGGTCGCCGGAGAGGTCAATGCCGGAGTCCTTCTTGAACTGCTGAACGAGGTGGCGGACGAGGTGGATATCGAAATCCTCACCACCGAGATGGGTATCACCGTTGGTGGACTTGACCTCGAAGACACCGTTCTGGATCTCGAGGACAGAGATATCGAAGGTACCACCACCAAGATCGTAGACGGCGACAACGCGGTCCTGCTCCTTCTCGAGACCGTAGGCGAGAGCGGCGGCAGTGGGCTCGTTAACGACACGGAGGACGTTGAGGCCGGCAATCTGACCAGCATCCTTGGTGGCCTGACGCTGAGAGTCGTTGAAGTAGGCGGGGACGGTAACGACGGCGTTCTTGACGGGCTTGCTGAGGAAAGCCTCGGCGGTCTCCTTCATCTTCTGGAGGACGAAACCACCAATCTGGGAAGGAGAGTACCTCTGGCCACGGGCCTCAACCCAGGCATCACCATTGGTGTGCTGGACGATCTTGTAGGGAACCTCCTTGATGTCGCGCTGGACCTCGGGGTCGGTGAACTTGCGGCCGATGAGACGCTTGGTGGCGAAGAGGGTGTTCTCGGGGTTGACGACGGCCTGACGCTTGGCGGCAACACCAACAAGGCGCTCACCATCCTCAGCGAAGGCGACGACGGAGGGGGTGGTACGGGCACCCTCGGAGTTCTCAATAATGCGAGGGGTCTTGCCCTCCATGATGGCAACGGCGGAGTTGGTGGTACCTGGGGGCTTCAGTTAGCCATGGCCGAGTAGATACCTCTAGTGATGCTACATACCAAGATCGATACCGATGACGGAACCAGTGACCTTTCCGTTTCCTTCCGTTGACTCGAAGCGCGCGAAGGCGGGGGTCATGGGCTTCCTGAGCATACCCGCGGCGCGGGTAGCAATAGAGGCCTTGGGCAGCTGTGGTGAGAGGGGGAAGTGTCAGCCATTGTCATTGTTGAAGGTATTCATGAATATGGAACGCGCTATTATCGCGACTTGGAGTGAGGGGAAAGTGGAAGCGGCGGATGCTGCAAGTGCAAGTGCAAGTGCAAGCTCGGTATATACTTACAGCCCTGGTAAGCCTTGTGGACATCATCTTGTGTATGTGACTCTAAATTAAAAACGAAAAATAACCCCTTGGAAAAACAGACAGGGCCGGGAATCAACAGAAAGCAGACGGGGAAAAGGTGGTGGTGGAGGAGGAGGAGAGGGTGGTTATGAATGAGGATTCGTGAACGGAGAGCGGAGGCCAAGGAGGAGCTGGTCAAGCTCTTTTGTACTGCGAGGGAAAAAATTCAACAACCCGGTCATCGAAGGCGTTGGAAATTTTGCTCGGCTGCTTCTCAGCGCCCACACGGCCCAGTGACTGGATCAAGGACTCCAGCGGGACCTCCAGTGGCACCGCGGGGGAGCCACTTCCTACCCACTGAGAGCAGCCGCATGCACGGTAAGTGGGGCGCCGAGCAAGCTCCGCACGGGCCACCCCGTCAATTGTCGCAGTGTTTGCTGGGCGGGCACTGGCGGGCGAAGGCGGGGAGCCTAGCTCGCCTAGGAGGTGAACTCCCGTCTTCCTCCTTCGACCCGTTTCCTCCGTCCACCGAGAACTCCGAGCGGCCGTCGACTACCACCCTCGAATTGCATCCATTCCCGTCTTGAACTTTGCGACGGCACGTGACTCGTACCCTTTTTGTTTTCTAAGTGCTGGCCGGCTGCGGTTTGATAATGAGAATGGGTGAGGGGAGGGGAAGGCGGGCTCGGGCGGGTATGCGTAACGATGGCCTGTGACGGCATCGGGGGAGTGGATGCGCTGCTTGATTACCACGGTTACGTATTGCGCGCTACTTTGAGATGTGTAAACTAGAGGTATATATCTTAATGCTTCACTCCAATTCCTGAGACTACATGCCATAGATGTTGTCTATTTCTGAGGCTACTCATTGTGCGCCAAATCACCTCTGCCGTTGCGCGCATTGATGAATCGAACGGCCAAACATCAAACTCGCATGTATCCGATGATGTACCTGGCTGGCCATGGAGGTACTTGAAGAGTGGAGGACCCCGGTTTTGGAAGCTTGAGGTACCTTTAACTTTAAAGCCTAGGTTAACTATTCTTTTCTCTCAAGCTTACCGCCACTTATTATCAACAAATCCAAAAAGGCTCTTTCCAAATGATTTAACTGCACGGCAAAAAGACTTCGCACGAGTTTAGCATAGTCTTTTCCCTTTGGCACTGCATTGTGTTGTCATCCCGTTGTAAGTGGGTGGCGAGCTTAGGATAAGGTAAGGTATGGGAAAGGGACTTTGACGCAGATTTGCGACAACAGAAAGCAATGACGAACAGGTCGGACGGGCCTCTCCTATCATTCTCCTAGACAACTAACATGTTCACTTCCATTGACTTCCTAATTCTAAACTCACCAGCTTTCAACTATTCTACATTGTAATCCCGTTTAGCCACATCAGCATACAGTGCTTCTCTCTCATTGTCCCCAATCCCGACCAAGATACACACCTGCCCGCTCCCAGCATTCGAGTTCCCACGCGATCCTTCCAGTTGAATGGTTCCTCCTCCTTTGACATCACCTCCCTCGACACCGAACCGACAACAGCGCGGAACTGTGCATGTTCATCGCAAACTGCCCTGATCTGGAATTGCCCGGTCAAAACAAACCCGCCAAGACTTTCGCACAATGACTGTCAAGGACGATGTGTAAGCTGATGCCCCAAGTCTATTCCACGGGTTGCACCCCGTGCCCCCAAACCACCATCCCCGGGAATTGCCATCACTTTCAAACCTGCCTTGTTCTTTTGCTGACACAAGATTTGATCTCGCTTCTAGTTACCATGCGACCGAACACTTGATCCTCCCCAAGCCTCGACGCCGCTATCGCACCAGTGTCCATCCTAGGTACGTCCTGGGTTCATCCCCATGGCGACACGCCCACGTGGCACCCGGCAGCTAATATCAGATTTGTAGTCACTGGCAGTTGCGCTCCATGGTGGGCGTCGAGGACAATGACCTAGTCTATTTTCCCGGAGGAAGGGACAACACCGAGGTCCAGAGACTCAACATCACGACGCAGGAGATCGAAACCATCAAGCGCCTTCCTTTCCAGCCTAGGTGTCTTGTTGCGCGGAATGGGTGGATCTGCTGTGGTGGCGAGACGGGCGAGTTTACGGCGATACATGTCCGCGAAAGAAGCCCTCCGAACGATGCCAATGCGACGGATTCGGACGACCAGGTTCCCGGTCAGGAGCTACTGGACGAACTCAGTCATGACCTGGACGACGAGGACTCGGTAGAGGTCGCGCGGGCGCTAGCTCGAGCCCAGATCATAACTGCTGCGCGAGGCAATGCCAACAACGATAACAAGAACCTGTCTGTCACAAGCAAAAAGTTTGGCAAACAGCGCGTCAACTGCATCACTTTGTGGTTTCCACCAACCCTGGTACCCGCTGCGGCAGGCGCATACAACGAACCAGTTGCCGTTCTTTCAAACAATGACAATTCCGTTTCTTGTGTTAGTTTGTGGGAAGAGGAGGCCTTGGACGAGATCACATACCCAGACTGTGTCAACCGTGCTGTCATCTCCCCCGACGGCCGGCTCCTCATCGCCATCAGCGACGACCCTTACCTATACGTACACGAGAGAGTTGAGAAGGAGGAGCCGTGGATGAATAGTTACCGTCTCTCCCATCGAACACACAAATGGGTTCCGTTGCGTAAAGTTCCCTTGGAGAGTCAAAGCAAAGATGATCGGTCAGAAAATAGGTATGTGTGCCATCTTTATTTGCTGTTTGCCATGTTTGCGCAACACCCTAACACCGTACTAGGGGGAGTTTTGCCGCATGCTTTTCCAGTACAGGGAGTTATCTCGCTGTCGGCACTCAATATGGGATTATTTCCGTCTTCGATGTCGCGGCCTTCTCTGTCTCTGGATTAGATCCTCTCATAACGACCTTCGGCTCGTCAAGGCCACACGCTGAGCTGGGCGCCATCCGTGACATGGCCTTTGCTCCCGGGTCCACGGACCTCCTAGCATGGACTGAAGATCGTGGCCATGTCGGTGTCGCCGACCTCCGAACCGGTTTTCTCTCACGCCAGATTCTGGACCTGGACAAACGAGACGACTACGACCACGTCACCATATCCGATAGAAGCGCTATCGACCCTCGCCTCCTCCTCCTCGCAGCAGCCCGCAGCGATGACAATGAGGCCTCAGCATCCGCTTCACCACCGCCTCGCTTGCGCGGTGTCGATCTTCTAGCAGCCCTGGAAGCTCGACGGGAACGCTCAAATAGAGAGCATTGGGATTCGCTAGAGTCGTCTTCGTTCACTCCTCGTGAACTGGAGGTACTTGACGCGATTCGGGCAGAACGGAGACAGCGAGATGCCGCCACCTCGGGCGGAGGAGGAACCGCAACCGAAAGAAGAACTAATACTTCGATCTGGCGTGATGATCCATTATCCCGCTCAGGCGGAGCAGGAGCAGGAGACACCCAGCGGTCGTCTGGGAGTAGCGAGCAGTCCCGCGAGCGTAGCAGTGGCTTGAGAAACACTCGTGAAACCCGGGACCTATCTACCTACCGTGAGTACGCAGACTTACTCACCGGCGTCCCTCCTCGCGCAGCTACATCGCTACGAGCATCTGCCAGCACCGGCAGTGCAACCGGTGGTAGTAGTGGTCGTGATGGGCGGAACATGCGAGCAAGCATAGCCGCATTACGGGAAGCAGCTGACGAAGCTACCGCCGCCGATCATCTTCGCGTCATCAGTGCCATGGCTAGTATAGACAGAGGAGGAGACCGAGGAGACCGAACGTACCCACCTACCCGGCCCGCTGGTACCGCTGGTGCCAGCGGCCGTACCACCAGCAATACCAATAACCAAGCCCAGACTGCCTCAGACGCAGCAGCAGAGAGGCGAGCCCTCACCCTCTCCTCGCGCATCATGGCGAACCCAAGCTTATTGTCTCCCACCAGCAGAAACACCACATCCAACACAAGCACCAGCAATGTCAGTGCTGCCGCCACCCTGCAACAGCTCTACTACACCCTCCACCTCGAAGATACCCTACCGTTCGACAGCTTCAGCAGGACGCTCCCCGATCTCGACTCCACCCGCAGGCTGCGCGGCGCCCATGCTTCGCTGCGCGAGTGGGATGATCACCCGACTAGACGGGCGTTTGGGGCGCTGTATATGAGTAGACGGGAGCCGGATCCGCATGATACGGCGGGGTTGTGTTGGAGTGAGGATGGAAGGATTTTGTAAGTTTGCTTCTCCTTTTTTTCTTGGAAGCTAGTCTTGGTTGTTGATTGCTAATTGTTATGTGTGTGATATGATACAGGTTCGTCGGCGCTGAAGACGGGATTTACGAGTTCCATGTGAATCTTTTGCAGAGGAGTCTGTTTCCTAGTTTGGATTATCGTTAGGTTTTCTGCCACTGTCACACTGGGAACACTGGGATGGAACGATTGTTGAGTTTGATGTCATGGTTTTCGGTTTATCAGGTCATTCAAAGTAACATACGACGCCGCGTACCTTGCTTGACTTTTTTTCTTCGCGTTTGGTGTGGGTTCAATGATGGAAGGGAACGGGGCGTTTTTAGGCACACAAGTTGCGACTAGTCAACCTGTTTGGGGTGAACACGAACATAGGTACCTCTTTATAACAGCGAACGGACATGGGACGTGGGACGTGGGACGTGGGCGCAGTGGAAGAGTGTCTTTTGCTCTTTTGCTGAAATGATGATGGACTATCAAGACGGTGACGAACGGGAAACCTTGAAAAGTAATGAGGATGTTTGAGGTTGGGCTTGGGTTGATGGCGGGTACAAATTGATGAGGCAGCGGATAGTTAGGTTAACAAAAGTAACCGAGTTGGTGATTCTTGTATGGTGTTATCCAAAGTAGTTTTAACACCTCGTGAAGAGGAATTGAATACTTATATCGCTGCTTATCTCGACTTCTCTTGATGAGAATGTTCTAACATCAACTGTCAACAAATTCTTTTACCACCTGGCATGATATTACTGTCATTACCCATCACTTCAAGTGCATCATGATCAAAGACATGAATAATACGAATAACATTACGGGTTTGCGATGTCCCAATATTAAGAAAGGCTATGTATGTATGTATCTCCCGTCCTTGATTCGATCTTTCCATTCCATCCATTCCTTTCACTCAATTCCATTCTATTTCATAGAACTTTCCACCTCCTTCACAGCACTAACCCCCAATGCCCACCCGTAAATAAGAACTGCACAAGAGGGAGGTATTATCCACCAGAAACGCCTGTAAGCCACCAACCATGTCCTGCCCTGTCCCCAAAATATCAAACTGTTCGTCTCCCTCTTTGTTTGTGGATACTCCATAGGTTCCGTTCACATTCTTGAAGTCCCTGATAAACAGGATTTGTGCCAGTTTGGAGATCCGAGGCCCGACATAATCCCCGAAAACGCGGTGATCATAAAAGCATCGTTCCTTCGTTTGAGGCATACCCGTGAGAAAACAGATAAGAAAGATCTCAAGTCGAGAGCTGAACTGAACCCTCTCTGAGAACTTTCTTCCATCACTCAGCAATTGCTTCCTCCTGGTGCTGCTGCGCAGGGCCATTCATCTTGGGACGTTCTACATCTGAAATAGACGTCGACCGATGAAGACCCGAAGCGTGAGTAGGTTCGTGAGTAATAGCGACGTCTTTTCCTGATGACTCGGCTAATTGACGTTCTGCACAGCCAGTTGTTAGCAAGGATGATTCTTCCAGGTCACATTCTAGAGGTCGGCGTGAAACTCACCCAATTCACGAATACGATGCCTCAACATCTGATTCTCCCTCACAAGCATCTGCGTTTCCGCCTGATAAAAGGCACTCTCATCCCTTCCGCCCAGGGCCCACTGGTCCATACTGTCTGCACTAATCGACGTGGCGCGCACCCTAGGCGAAGCGCATCTGCTCGGCGTTCTGGACCGAGCCTTGTTGAGGTCATTGCTGCTGCGGGGGAAGTCGAACGAGCCGCGGGGGTGGGGCAGGTAGCCCGGTGACTTGGGGATAGATGTTCCAGGAACTCCTCCCATCTGTGGTGTTGAGATAGGGGTATCCCGCCCGGAGTTGTCGTCGCTGACGGCCCCGGATGAGGACTGCTGGCGCTGAAGCTGGGATTGTAACCTCCGGATTTCACTGAGCAGGCGGTTCACCTGATACTCCTGCTCGTTCTCTAGCTCCTGGTGAAGCTCTCCGAGGCTAGGAGCCCGGCTGTGCTGCTGGGGGCGGCCGGGGATGGGCTGGGGGGAGCTGACGGATGAAGGCTTGGAGCTGTCCGAAATCATTTCGCCAGGAGCTGGTACCGAGGGGTCGTTCATCTGGAGGTTCATGAGGACTTGTGATTGGCGACGACCGGCGCTGGGAATCTTGGGGGCCTGAGATGCAGAAAGAGGGCTGATGGAAGAGCCTAGATAGGTAGCAAGTGTCAGCAGGGTGATTTCAGAGTCATAGTTGGGCGTTGAGTCACGAACCTCGTAGTGAATCCTTGCGCTGAAGACCAGCGTTGAGGGTAGCTGCGGCCTGGAGGGAAACAGAGCCTGATCTGGGGGACGGCGCGGGGGATGCCTCCCTATTCTGGCCCAGAGGGGAATGGGTGCGGATTGACGACGACATGCTGGTACGTTTAGGTATCTCGAGGTTTGGTGTTGACGAAGAGGGAGAAAGAGAAGTGTCTGGATCGGAGCCCAGGTGCATGTTCGCGTCGGAGCTTGTCTGGTTAATAGCTAGGCTAAGCTATTGAAGGTAGTATAGAGGTATCGGGTCGCGTCGGCAAACGGAGGCAGCCAGGTGCAAGGAAGGGCACTCTGTGACTCTGAGCAGTCGAGGTATGCTTGGTTCGGATCAAACAGATTGGCCGGTGAATTAGTTGCAGGATGCCGTTGACGGAGTTGAGAAGAAAGTCTGAAAGAGTCTCGAGACCGCGGAGAGGGTGTTCAGATGGCGAGCGCAACACGGCTGGAAGTTGCCAGTTCCACTTGCACGTCACAAACACGAGACACAGACGAGACGGGAGACGGAGAACCAGTGGGGAGATCTCTAGGTAATATGGGACGTTGCGATGTTAAAGAGGAGAAAAGAGGACAATGGTACCTTCGGTAGATGTGACAAGATGGTCTAGAATCTCGATTCCACTCAGGGTTCCTTTTTAAAAGGTTTAGAACGGCCCATGATGGCCCGACAATCTTAAAGCCGTCCATGTGTGGAAGGTACTACGATGCTCCAGCTGTTTGGATGCAAGAAATGCTTGGCGTTGTCGAAGGTTCGCTGCAGCTGCGGGCTTCGTCTTCCATGCCATGGATCCGGCCATGCATCGCGGCTGAAAACAGCCAAAATAACGTCCACGGGGCGCGTGATAGCAGTTGTAGCCACCTGTAACTTTTGTCGCACAGGCCACAGGACCCCTGAAGATCTTGGCACTTCCCTCTTGCGACCATTTCTCACCTCCAGGATCCCCATTCAAGATCTGACTGACCAGGCAAGAGTCGAACTTGTTGAGATTCATGCAAAATGAAGCAACCGGACTCTTTGTTGGGGTCAAAGTCAGGTTCGTGACCTTTTTGAGGCGTCGGGGGCGTCTAATACAGCCGCGCTACTCGGCGATATCCGCAGTTTACCCAACATCAACCTTAAAAGCGATTATGCTAGCCATCTGTAGAGTGACGTTCAAGTTCGCTCGTTACTTGATATAACAAAACTGGTCTCAACCGGTTCAAATGCCTTGAGAACATGTCCAACATATGCAAACACTGAAAGAATTCCGGCTACACACTGAAACACAATGGCGACGGGATATCCCATCGGGGTCCCCACATGTGCTGTCCGAGACAAGGGCAGCATCACGAGAGAACATGACTGATATCGAGGTCAGGTGCCTAAAGAGAAACCGACGGTCGAGCCATAGAGGTACCCAAAACAGGCAACCATAATCGTTACCGAGGTGGTGGAACTTCTCTTTCACACCTGAACAATGCTTGGGCAAGCCGATCGCGTTTCGTCGGAACCCCGATATTCTTTTTTCATCGACTGGTCAAATCCGCCGAAGCATCGACGTTGGCGAGGAAATGCGGAAGCAAGCTGACATTGGAAGATGGTGGTAAAACACAAACAAAACCGTAGCACGTGAAGTTGAGTATTCTGACTTGATGTGAATTTGCAGCCATGCTAAGTGAAGTCATGTTCTGATACTGAAATATGCTCGATGACAGCACTGAGCAGCACGGGTGGACGTTGTAGATGCGGGAAAGGCCGGGGCCGCCGCATCTCGGATTCCCCACACTGTTGAACTTACCTCCGACGGCGGCGACCCGACTTCGGACCTTATGCACGACCGCCGCAACCCGTCTCCGCAAAGCCCGTGACTTACTTCAACAAGCCTACAATAACAGCTACCGGCACACTTTCACCATGACACTTATCCTCACACCAAGAGGTCGACTCGCGGCGGCAGCATCAGCAGCCTCGACAGCAACAATACGAAATGCAGTTACGTCATCGCTCACTTCGATAACGCGGACTGGTCATCACCATGGCAGTTTCCGTCCTTTCTCCCACACCTCCGCCTCTCACGCCGACTTCACCCACGCCGTGATAGGCGGCGGGGTAGTCGGCCTCGCCATCGCGCAACAACTAGCCCGACGCTCTTCCTCCCCCTCCACCCTCCTCCTGGAGCGGCACCCAGCCGTCGGCACCGAGACATCCTCGCGCAACAGCGAAGTGATCCACGCCGGCATTTACTACGGCGCCGGCAGTCTCAAGACGGAGCTCTGCATCCGGGGCAAGAACTTGCTGTACGAGTTCTGCGAGAAGCACTCGGTCCCCCACAAGCGCGTCGGCAAATGGATCGTCGCGCAGAACCAGGCCCAGCGCGAGGCGCTGCAGCGCATACACGACTTCTGCGTCCATGAAATCAACGTGCCCGTGCGCTGGGTGTCGCGCGAGGAAGCGCAGCGTCGCGAGCCGGCGGTGCGGGCTGAGGCTGGGATCCTGGAGTCTCCGACGACGGGTATTGTTGATTCTCACTCGCTGATGGCCTGTCTCCAGGGCCGGTTCGAGGAAGCAGGCGGGACGGTGGCGCTCGCCAGCGCCGTTACGGCCATTCGGCCCGTTGGCGGCAGTGCCAATGCCAACGGAAAGGAAGGCTGGGAGCTCACAGTCCGCCACACCACCACCGGCGAGACCTCCACCATCACCACCTCAACAATCATCAACTCTGCCGGCCTCGGCGCCGTCGACATCCACAACATGATCGTGCCCCCCTCGCAACACAAACAAATGTTCTACGCAAAAGGGAATTACTTTTCCTACCCCTCCTCCTCCCCCAAAGTCTCAACCCTCATCTACCCCGCCCCCGAACCCGGCGCGGGCGGGTTGGGCACGCACCTGACCCTCGACCTGGCGGGCAGGATCAAGTTCGGCCCGGACGTGGAGTGGGTTGATTCCCCCAAAGACTTGGCTGTCAACTCGGCTAGGCTGCCGGAGGCGATCGAAGCAGTAAAAAAGTACCTGCCGGACTTGGACGAGACGCAACTGCAGCCGGATTACGCGGGGATAAGGCCGAAGCTGGGGAAGGCGGGGGCGGTGGCGCAGGGGAAGGGGTTTGTGGACTTTGTGATTAGGAAGGAGGAGGGGTATGAGGGATGGGTGAACTTGTTGAACATCGAGAGTCCGGGGTTGACGAGCTCGTTGGCTATTGCGGAGAAGGTGGAGGGGTTGTTGTATGGGTGAGTTGGTTGGGTGTGAGAGTGACTTGGTGAGTGGGTGAGGTGAGGTCTATCGGTCGGGTAGGTAGGTGTGTCGTTCCGTGCCTTTGGGAACTTGGATGTTCCGTCTGATGAGAGACGTGATATGTTATGGTGACGATGTGAGGACGAACGAGGCGTTCATCACTACTCCTCCTGAATCCAGGACGGTATTATCTTTGCGCTTGGAATGCTTGGGCTCTGCCAACAACATGCCCACATTTCCTTCTGATTCGTCCAGGTCTCTTCTATTCACAAAGTACATATGCCACTATAACGTCGCTCGCCTTATATAACCAAAGCTGCTCAACACAAGAAGCTCACAAGGCTTTTAGCCGCGGTTTACCTCATGAGGCTCCTGATTGCGTCGAGAATTCATTTCTCGCGCGAACCCCTCCATTATTCGGTTTCGAGGTGCCGAATAGTCGTTAGATTACAGCTTCTTTTTTCTATCCGTTTCGAAGCGACCTCAAAAGAGCTTCCCTATGAGCATATTCTTAGTTCTTACCAGGCCCCATTCTCGAACCTCTCGTCTCCGGTCGAACAGACCAAGCTCAAAGCTCTCGGACACGACCCAATCCGAAAACCGAATTCAATGTGGACCGATGTGGACATCCGGCTCGAATGCAACCGGCCGATCCCGTCTCCCGGACCCCGGCTCGCTCGACCCCTCCGATACGGCCTTGGCATTGACCCTCTCAGTCGGGTTTCGGAGCTTTGCACCGGACGGACTCCACTTTCGGCCGTTTTAGTTAGGTCACAAGAGACTACGGTTTCCTGCTTCACTCACACGTGCGGAAGCCTTTCCTTCTTCTCTTTTTACACGAGTACGAACCTTTGTGATCTGTGTTCTCGTTTTTGTCCACCATCACTTCTACCCAAGTGCACCGTTGCTTATGCCGTGGCCGTGGTTACTTGTGGCTACCTGTGGCCCACTCCCGCCGGCACACGTGTAGCTGATGCCGATCATCGCCGCAAGTACCCCGCACGCTAGGAGATACCGACGGAAAATGCCAAGGGCCCAAGGAACCCGAACGGATGAAGCTGAGCTGGAGCTAGAGCTGGGAAGGGGGTGAAAGTCATCAAACTTGGCTAGTATGGATCTGTAGTAGTACGGCGTAATTGTAAAGGGTGCTGAGGGTGGGTAAGTGCTTTATGCTTGTGTTTGGTGTTTGGTGTTTCTTGGTGTGCTGTTGGTTCCAACTAGACGGGCGGCGACACATCGAGGACTCACTTTTGTAGGGTGGTTGTAAGTGGGAATGGGGTCACACACTCTCTCTTCGTCCCTGAAATTCTGTGTGACGGTTCCGTTCAAGGCTTGCGAGTGTGGCGGTCAGGTACATAACGTACCGTCCCAATGGCACGGGATAGGTAATCATCAAATATGGGTTTTCCCGTCTCGAGGCGCTGAGGGGTCTGTTGGGAGAGATTGTGTGTGACATAGGGTATTGGGGGATGGGGGGATGGGAGGATGGGAGGACAAACCCCTCATTTTTGGTGATACAAATATTTCGGCCGTCATACTCCCTTCTCTGCATTGCAGCTTGCTTGGGCGAGCCGAGATGCTGGTAGGTCATCTTGACGGGACAGAGCGGTGGTACGCATATCAATAAGGTGCAATAGGATGAACCGGATGAGATGTTGGGAGTCATCGAATCGACGGGAGGTGCTGATGGCTGCCCGGAAACGGGAAGAAGAATGCGCTAATGCAGGAACAACGATTTACGCGTCGTGAAGAGGGGTGGCATCCCGAACGTAATTAAATGTTCAGTGTGCCTGCTGTTGGTATTGGCGATGCTTGGATAGCCCAGCATTCCAAGGACTCTTTGAATGATGGTGTTGGAAGTTGGAAACTCACAAACCACGCGTGTTTGGAGTTGAATCTGGTCAAGTAGGAGATCTCTCGACCTGCGAAGCTCCCATCCGCCAAAGCTGCAGCCATCCGATGGAAAGCAGCAGAGAAGTTTCAACGAAGTGGGGAGAAGCCATGCCGTTATACATGATTTGCCCGCCCTGAACGCCTCCGTCGGCTTGCCATGAGGAGATGACCCTGCGTGGCTTGGGAGGAACTGCTATTTTCATCGCCCTTACGGACGTACCGCGTGCGCACGAGAACCTGGAGGTCTGAGAAGCTGATGTGCAGCAGATGTTGGAAGGGTGGTGGCATCATCTGTGTAACTCGGGGGAGGGTGGTGGTCGAATCATGATGCGCCAAAGAAACGTGGGATGACTTTGTTTTCCCAGTTTGGTGGTACAACGTTCAATAATCGGGGATTTTTGTCTTGCAACTGGGAAGATGCTTGTGTTGGTGATGGTTGGTCTGGATGCGACTGCTATCACCAACGGCCCCAGAGTTTCCCCTTCAGCAGCAGGTGTTCATCCGAACAATGTAGCGGGTAGTTGGTGTCTAGTTTGCGTACTGTTCCATGCTTTTGGAAACATGGCGAACAACATTGTTTATCTCTGATCGGCCGATATTCTGCATCGTGTAGAGGTGAAGATTAATGTTTGCTTGCGTAATCAACGGTTGTAGTGGTGGTGAAATTGGCTGCGCTGAGGTTTTCGTTATTCGAGCCGGGGCTGGAGGTGAAGACTTTTTGAGATGGGAAAGGTGCCGTTGGAAGCCCTAACCTCACTAGGAGACGTGGTTACCCGAGACTCGTGTTTCCATCAGACGCGAGGACGGCTGAAATTTCATGTTTCCTTGTGCGATGACGGTGGTGATGATGAGGAGTGGGGGAACACGTTGAGAGTAGCAGAGAACGTGAAGCGGACACGGGGGGCAGCAGGAGGGCAGGAAATGAAGTTTAATCTGGTGAAGAACTTCAAGTGGCTCCTGCCCAGAAGAACAGGCGCCGATATCCTTACCTACTCAGCCGGCGGTTGCCGAACAGAAATGCCTCTTTGTCTTCTTCAACCGACTGCCCTGACACATCAAACATGTCAGTGGATGGGGTATATGGGGGAGTAGATCCTCATCACCAGGGGCCAGATCTGATGCCCAACGTGGTGTTTGGAGCACTATGGCAGATGGAATTCAGGATGAGTTCAGGTCGCAACTTGCAACTTTGGAGGACGATGATCGATATGATGCGTAGGGCGAGACCTGCCCTGGGCCGAAGTTAGAACTGACAGAACAATCGCACCCCTGCAGGCGCGCACGCCGGTGGCATTGGGTGGATTCACGATGTCAAAAAGTCGTGGACCCACTCAAATGCGGAAATGCCACCTTCAGGTTTGAATTCGCATCTGGGCGTCAGGGGCTTCCTCGCTTTGGCCCTTGTCCACCAGTGGATTCTGCCCCATATTTAACAATGACAGGGCATCCCATTCCTCTTTCCATTTCCCAAATCTTTGAACTTTTGGCAATGGAACCGTGGTTTTTTTATGGTTCGCGACTGCCTCATTGCTTCTCTTCTGCAAGGCTTTGATTAGGCTGCATTACGAGAATATGTCATGTGAAAATTTCCACGATGCCCGACGTTGTGTACGTACGTAGTATTGATATGTAATGCTCCCGGGGTAAGAGGTGCATACCTGTATGTATGGTCCTGGAGGTCGGGATGAGTTGCGAACGGTCTTTCCACTTGATGTCGGAATTCGGCTTCTCCTGTCTCTCAACGCCTAACGGCCCGTCATGTTAGCGCGCTGAAATTAGACACACAACGCTTCCAAGGCCCCAAGCCAGAACGAGAGGACACCAGCTCACAAGACAAAGCTGGAGAGACTAGAGAGCGCCTAACGTTCATTGTCCGTAGAGTACTGTGTCTGAAGCACTTGACCGGCCAGGGTGGCTGTTGACTGCGAGGAATCAGTGAATCAGTCACTTGTGGTGAGGGCCCTGGAGCAGAACTCCCGAGATGTCACGATCACGACCCCTGGCCCGCATACACGCCAATCCCACGGCTGTATGTCTGGGAAATGTCGAGTCGTTTTGTGTCGTTCCTCATCGGCTGCTAGGTCCCAAGCGCATTGTTGCACATGGCGGGAATGGAGCCCCACTAGGCCATCTCCAGGCCATTAGAACCCATCCAACATCCCAGACGGAAAAGCCATTGGATTGCCTGCATGTGTAAAAAAGGTAATTAGCTTATACCCGACACGCCCTGGAATAGCGCCAGTCCCTGTGGTTTCCCTGAGGTCCCAAGAGGAATCTTTCAATTAATATACTGAACGGCCGTCTGGGCCCCGAATCCTCGTTCATTCCGCGCGCCCTGGTTCCGAACTAGGTGGAACTCCCTTCACACGCCGAGCTGCTCCTTCCGATCTCTCTGACGTATAATTTGGCTGGTTGGGCCTGTCTTGTCAAACATAATTTCCGTCGACCTGTCCAGTCCTTCCAGTCCTGACTCTCGCTTCCACACCCCGATGCTGCAAAGGGCATGATTGCCGCCTGCCGCCAGCTTTGCCTAGAGGTACTAACTGGTACCGTACCGAGCGTACTTGCTCTTTTTTTTTTTTTTTTTTTTTTTTGCTTTTTGTTGGTACCACTGAGGCTATCGCTCCTCCCTGGTAGACGACCCATCCATACACAGAAGTCCCGCCCCATTTCGACCCATAGACACCCATCGAACCAAACTTGACCAAACTTTTCCCACCTGATTTCCAATCTTGGCTTTCCGCTGTCAGGATTGGGAAATCTTCTCGCGCCTGGATTTGACGCCCCGGATTCCCACTGTCCAGGTTCTCATTGTCGTATCCAACAGATCTCCGTGTTTATTATTACTACCACGGCTGGCGACCCTCTTCGAATCTGACCCCCGTCATCCGTCCTCCGACCCGACCTTTTGGTCCTCCCATTTACAAGCCCACCTCGCGGCAACTTGCACTCATTTTTTTTTTCTTCAAGCAACAAAGGAAGGAATTCAACAACCATCGACTCTCATTGCCCTGCATGGGTAAATCCAACCAGCATTCTTTTCACTCTCAACTACCACCACCACATCATCGCAGCGCCAGCGTACTGTCCCTTGTGTGGCGGTGAGTACCAGGAACTTTTGCGCCCTGATCGTCACCGCATACCGAACCACATATCCAGGACCTGACACCGCCAGGGTTGGCTCCCTCCGAAGCCATGTCTGAGCCACATCATTATCATGACCAAGGGGAGGAAGTCGAAAGGGCACCCTCACGGCAGGAGGCAAGCAGGTTAAATAAGAGGGACTCGAAGCTTGGATTGAGGAACTTGTTTCACAGAAACAGATCAGCTACCGAAGCCGAACGAATGTCGACTGTCGCTCCCAGAGAAACGCCGACGAGATCCGGTCTGCGCGCCTCCATCGCCAGTGTCAGCCACTGGCCGTATGGCCATGGCCACGCCCAGCGGTCCGAGGTGTCGTTATCCGGGTCCGGATCCCCTCTCACGCCTACCTTCCCACCCCAAACTTTGAAACACAAGACATCAGCAAGTGCAGTGCGTGGACACGCATCGCCTAGAGCATCAAGGGGATCCCTGGCTGCTTGGGATCCACCAACACTTTGTCAAGTTTATCCCCAGGCCATCAAGCAAGCCCGTCTTCCTGCCTGTACCGCTTCAGCTGAGGCTATACTTAGGCTGCATCAACACAAGGGCATCTTCTCGATTGGCGACGCGTTCGGATCAGGCTCAACAACAGCCGCAGACGGGGCAGCTCCGTCGACAGCAGGAGCTGACAGGTCCGAGAGAGGGAGGAGGAGGCACCGCCGCAATACCTCTGGATCAGTTGCCCTCAGATTAGACTGGACGACCAAGTTTTTCGTGCTTATTTCGGGATACCTGCTCCAGTACACCGGGGATGGGCCCTTGGACCGTCTGCCGGAGAAGGTCTTGTCGCTGGGAAAGGACTCAGCTGCCTTTGTGAGCGATGTTATTCCAGGACGTCACTGGGTATTGCAGATAACCGCTACGGCCGATTCGGACTCTGCCGCCCCAGCATCTCACGCCAGCTCATTGCTTGCGCGACTGCCTTTTCGGGGTCAGGACAAAAGGCAGGCCTCCAATCTTTTGATGGTATTCGAGAACGCGGCCGATATGGAGAGTTGGTTGGCCACGCTTAGACGCGAAATCGAAGGCCTTGGAGGAAAGAAGAAGGTCTCCGAGACAGGAAACACAAATATCGATAACGAGGCTTCAGAGCTTCGAAGCCAGACGAGCCAAAGAACCTTGGTAGTTGGTGATTATGGCAGGGCCACGTCTAATGATGCGTGGGACGGACGCCAGAGCACTTCGAATCCGGATATCAATATGGACTTCGTTGATGCTGAAGGGTCACGAGATCAGTCCTTCGACGAGGCCGCGTCCACCGCTAGCGTGATCTCCCACGATGGTAGACAGTTAGACGGACTTAGGGATAGTACCCAGCGGTTTTCATATCTGTCGTCCGGTCAGCGTACAGTTCTCACATCAGCTGGATCATCACCAGCATGCTCGCCTGTTCGCGACTCTTTTGCAAGCCTTCAGGACTCCATACCAGAGCTCACCGCCCTTGATGACCAACCCCGACCGCGACCAAGACCGAATGCAGCAGCAATCAGTGACAGAAGACAGTCTCTGCAGACGATGAATCATGTCCTCGAAATGCGTCTCGCCACTTCTCGGCTTCTTTCGGGTTCGAGTGCGTTGAATTTGGATCCCAGCAGCCCTTCAAGCTCTAGCAAACGATCCAGTAAGCGTTATTCGCTCGCTAGGTCAACAAAATCTCTTCCGGAAGAGGAAGTTGAATCATCTTCTCCGCCCCCTCCGCTACCTTCTCAGGTCCGCGGCGGATCACGGAAACCCCGGCCCTCGGCTCTATACCTCAACACACGCCCGCTCTCATTTGTGGAGGATCAACCGTCGCCTGCATCGCCGCCGCTTGATGAGAACGGTGTTCCAATTGAAGTAACCGTTGAAACAGCACCGGAGCCGGAGTCCCTTTTCTCGTCTTGGGGATTGCCAGACGCAACCAAGCAACGTTGTGACAGGGGCGAGGACTGGGAGAATCTTTCTCCCACGCAGCCTGTCACACATGGTAGCCCTGAAAAGAGGTCGGGTTATTTCCAGGCCGAAGGCAGCTCATCAGCGGCTCCTCCGACATCAGTGGCTTTCCAAGACATGCTCAGATCCACTTCATCCATCGGCAACTACCCAGGTAGCCCATCGAAGCGCGTCGATAGAAGAAGATTCAGTCTGCAGTCTCAGCTCTCAGAAAGGTCAAGCGAACCTGGTCGCAGTTTTTTGGATCTGAGTGACCTGGGTGACCATCTCGGTGACCTTCCTCAGATATCTTCAACTTCACTTTCGAAGCAGGGATCGAGACCAGCACCACATTTTAGGTCTATGTCGGTTGCCAACGGCTTGGGTCCGCGACGGAGTATCACACAGCTGGCGGAAGGCCCTCCGCCTGCTCCCCCGCCGAATCGAGCCCTTCCTCCAATCCCGAGAAAATCGTCACTTCAAGTCTGTCAATCAGCAGCTTCACCTTGAGCTGTGACTTGCATTTGCTCGTATCTGGTGCCATATCATCATCCAACGCATCGCCATTTCTGGACGTCTGGGCAAAATGACAACTGAAGCTTCCGAGTATCTTTCAGCAACAATACTGGCAGAGCGAAGGGCGCCTGGGGATTCAACTGATAGAGATAAACCGTCACCAAACCGCCGATTGATTCCGTTACCATTTCCTTTGTCTTTCTTTTGTCAAGGTCGGGTTCAATCAAAAAAGAAGATACCGGTTAGATGGATGGAATAAGGATGCAGGAAGCAAGATACCAGATACCCAGGTGATGAGGGTACATTTATACCACCGGCGACGTCCGGAACGTAACGTGTGAACGATCACCTTTGTCAAGTCGATTTGGTGCGGGTTTTGTCTTTTACCATATACCTTGTATTATGTAATGTTGGGGTACCTACTGCGTATGTAGGTGAATAATTGAGGAGGTGAAGGGACTTGCCTGTGGTGGGCAAGGGCGGGGTGGTTTTCGATTTCCAGTCATAGGAAGGAGCTTGGTACAGCTCCGCTACAAAGTCAGATGAAAGCTGATGCCCGGGCAGGCTCCGTGGCCAACTCAGATAGCAGCGAGTTTAGTGTGCTCAGATACGAATCTTTGGAGAACTCTGAATCACTCCCAACTGCCAAAACCAGTGCCGACCGTCAACTTCGTAACCAAGGTGCGCATCGTGGTGTCGAGAGAGTCGAGAGCCGAGCTCCATCTTGCGGCGCCCTGCCCCTGGAGGAGCAACGTCCGGGTTAGGGTTGCGATGCCTGTGATGCCCCACTAATGGATGCGAAGCAACCCAAAGCGGATAATGAAAGAAGGGGCAAAACCTCTCAACGTCTGGATGCGACCAGTCCTGCTTTGTCAAAGAAGCTTCGTCTGTAGTGAATCGCATTGGTTATTATTCGCGAATCTGCTGCCTTAATATTGTTTGTAGAGTACAACAACGTTAGCTGCAAACAGGGTGATTTACTGCGTAAAAGCCGAGTCAGCGGGACAATTTTTGCCCCACACTCAAATATCCAAAAATTCGAACCTCCAAAAAATGGGGGGGAAAACTGCCCTGGCTTTTCAAACTTGGGCCCCACCAAAAATCGCCGCCAAACCAGAGCAACGTCAACCCATCGCGACGACAACCCACGGCCATTTCTGCCATCCACCGCACCCATCATCCGACAAGCCGAACCAGCGGAATCAAAACAATCACATACTCTCAAGATGGCTACCCTCCAACAGAAGTCAGTTCTCCTCCGTTTGCCTCGACAGCAATTGCCCGTCCGCATCCACGCCCCCGATTCCCCCGATCGCCATTTTCCCGGCGTGCTTCACAACCCAACACGTGTGCGTTTGATTTCTCGGAGAGCAAGAGTTTAACATAGTTTGCGACCATATAGGCACGACTGGGCCGACGATGACGAGCTCGAGGAGACCTCCACCGAACTCCCGCCCCCCCAGAAGATCACCAACAAGGATGGCAGCACGACCATCATCGAGTACCGCCTGAACGACAACGGCCAGAAGGTCAAGACCACACGACGCATCCGCTACATCACCCACCGCGAGGTCGTCAACCCCCGCGTCGCCGACCGCAAGTCGTGGGCCAAGTTCGGCCTCAGCGCCAAGGACGGCGCCGGCCCGGCCCCCGACACCACCTCGGTCGGCGAGAACATCATCTTCAAGCCTTCCTTCAACTGGCGCCAGGACGCCAAGGACGAGAGCAAGGACCCCAACGCCCAGGCCATGAAGGACAAGTTGAAGGACAAGAAGGTCAAGTGCCGTATCTGCAACGGCGAGCATTTCACCGCCCGCTGTCCCTACAAGGACACCATGGCCCCCATCGGCGAGGCCGGCGCTGCCGCCGACGCCGCCGCCAGTGCCGCTGACGAGGCTGCTGCCGCTTCCCAGGGCGCGGCGGGCGCGGGCAAGAAGGGCTCGTACGTGCCACCTGCGCTGCGTGGCGCCGGTGGGGCCGCGGCTGCTGGAGAGAGGATGGGCGGCAAGTACGGCGAGCGCGACGATCTCGCCACTCTCAGAGTTACCAACGTACGTTTTTCCCCGTTTTCCCTGAGGAGGAGGGAGAGGAGGGGAAGGAGAAGAAAGAGGAGAAGGAGGAAGGAGTGGGAGGAAGAGCGGCAAAGGCTGTTCTGTTTCCTAAGGAAGGGTTTTTATGACGGGACGATGCGTGCTAACATGCTATTTTACTCCAGGTCTCCGAGATGGCCGAGGAACAAGAGCTTCGCGATATGTTCGAGCGGTTCGGTCGCGTCACTCGTGTCTTCCTTGCCAAGGATCGCGATACGGGTCTTGCCAAGGGCTTCGCTTTCATCAGCTTCGCGGATCGCAGCGACGCTGTCAAGGCATGCGCCAAGATGGACGGTTTCGGTTTCAGGCATTTGATTCTCAGGGTCGAGTTCGCGAAGAAGGCTGCGTAAATTGGTCTTTTAGACGGATGAGGAAGCGCCGGCGAAGAAGAGGAATGAGGGGGTTAGAGAAGCAGAGATGTTACGGATCCTAATGCGGTCTGTATAGGGGAGTACGTCACACAAAAATGGGAAGGACTCCTTGATGTTATTACTGCTACGATCTGGTTTCTGTCCCTTGTTGATGTTGGAGTTCATACTAATGGAGAACGAGCGGCAAAATTGGTCATGATCAAAAGATTTCCTTTTGCCTTTTAAAAGTACCGGGCAAAGGTGGCTATCTGAATTGATGTCTGGGTGAAGAACCGACTGCGGGTTGATCAAGGTTGTTGATTTAGACTGGCAACATGGTTTAGCACAGGACATACCAAAAAGCAGCGAAGCTTTTGAGAGTGTGGTGCGGTCTTCTTGTTGATACAAAGCCCATGCATGTGTCAAATAAGGCGACTCAGCATTTCTGCCCTTCGAAACATTATCATTAATACTAGCTTCCACCTATCCAACTTATCCAACCCCAACGTTAAACATTAGATCTCAAGCTGACAGAATTCGTCATACAAGTCCCATCATAAACTCAACCAACTAATCGCAAGATCGTAAGTTCATGAGCTGTTTCATACCAGCCGACACGTCCCTTCATCCTTCTCATCTTCCTGTCTCATTAATCTCATTACCGTGAAGGTCGTCACGCTGACTTGTGGAAGTCACTCATCCCTCCGCCCTGCCCTCGTAAATCTTGAAATATGGAAGTATCGACAAAGGAAATACGGCGGTTTGTCTGAAAGAGTAGTGGAAGGGGGAAAAAATCGGAAATGGATTAAAAAAGAAGAGGAATCCGGCGCCAAGAAACATCATCAACACCATGAACAACCAAGAAACAAAAGCCTCCCACCCATCATAACCCTTTACACCTTCTCATCCCTTCACCTCCTCCCCTTTCCCCTCCTCCTCCTCCTCCTCTGGTCCCGATCACTCTCCCCGTCATCCTCATCCTCACTCTCATCAATCTCCCTCACTTCCTCCCTCCTCCTACCCCCCTTCCTCTCCCTTCTCCCCCCCTTCCCAACCCTCCTCCTCTGGTCACCATCACTCTCCCCACCGGTATCACTTTCCTCCTCCTCCCCGTCATCCTCACCCTCACTCTCATTAAACTCTCTCACGCGTTCTCTACCACCCCCTTTTCCCTTCCCCCTCCCCCCCTTCCTCTCCCTCGCTTCCTCCTCCTCCTCCCTCCTCATTTTCCTCCCCTCCTCCCAACTCTTCCGTCTTTCCTCCCACCCCTGCTCAACCAAATACGGCACCCCTCTAACCCACCCCCAACTTAACGAGACAGCCAGTCGGAAATGGCTCCGTGCTGGCCGGAAATGCGCCGCCGCTTCGACCTTGTTGGCCCGTGCCAGGGCGGCCCGCTTGCGCGAGGTGTAGGCCCGTTCGGCGCGTTGGGCTTGTTTGAGTGCGAGGGAGGCGTGGTGCCGGGTTAGGCGGAGGGCGGTTTCGGTGGATGCTGTGGAGGGGCGCAGGGCGTTTTTTGTGAGAAGGGGGATTGGTTTGGATGGGTTGTCGGAGGGGGGAGGGGAGGGAGGTCGGGGAAGGGGAAGGGGGAGGGGGGGTTGAGGTTTTTCTGAGGAGGCGGCGGGGGATTTGCCTTTCTTGGTGGAAGAGGAGGGGTTGGCCATGTTCGGTTTCTTGTTGCTGTTGTCCTCCTTGGGGAGAGGTGGTGGTGGGAGTGAGTCCGAGTTGGTCTTCTCGGAGTCTTGACGGGTGTGTTTGTTGTGTTTGTTTGTCTGGTGACGCCGTGAGTGTGGGCGTTGAGCTGGAGCTGAAGCTGGAGCTGGAGCTTGAGAGCTAGAGCGGAAGGGATCACTTAGACGGGAGAGCATCATGATGGATCAGGACGGATACTGCGAGGGAGGAGAGGAGGGGTCAGGTGAAGGTATGGTATTTATCACGGGGCGAGGCACTATTGGGGGTAGGGTAAGATATGCGTTGTTGTGCGGAGGAGAGGAAAGGAAGGTGTGCGTGGAGGACTGGCTATATAGGCGAGAGCCCTAGCAGGCCAGTCCGTACACGCGTATACGTACAGCTATACATAACTATTGTATTTTGGGTATAGTATATAAGGCAATTAATACAGTACCAAAATATTATAGGCTAGCCTTGTGACACTATCCCCTCTCAAAAGAAGTTCTAGCAGCTTCGAATCTATATATATATATAATAATATTCTAGATTATTTATCTTAGACTCTTTTCGTAATCCTCCAATATTTTATTATAATCTACAAATTCCGTTTTTAATATTCGACTAGACCTGATATTTATTAAATATTTTATTATCTTCGCGAACGGTATCTCTAATCCCTACTCTTTATACCCCATAAGCTTATTCTCCGGCCCTATTATAACCGTAATCGTATCGGGCAACGGTTGCATAATATTAATAATAGCGGCGGCGGTCTCGCGTTAGGCTATATGGGTAGACCGGCGTTTAGGGGGTACCGGTAATTCTAGAGCGGCGACCAATTTTAGAGCGGCGACTAATTTTGGAGCGGCGACTGGTACTAGAGCTCGTTTAACTAATATAACCTCGATTTCCGGCGGTATAGATTTATCGGGAAATTCGTAGTAGAAACGTTAAAATATTTCTTTATAATCGATAACGTTATCATTAGGTTCCTAAGTCGGTTAGTAGTTACCCTTCTATTCAATACAGTAGTATTAATAATAATTGCCGCTGAATTATGTATAATCGATAAACCTTTCGAAATCCTATTCTTCCTATTCCTTATAATTATCCGTCCTAATTATTACGTACCTATTATTTACTTTTATATTAAAAGATATATTCTAGCCGGGAAGGCTTCTACTAATCTATAGTTATACTATAGAGACGTAGAATATTAATAAATACTTTATATTAATTAGGAATACGAAATATATTATATAGTTCTCTACTTAAATAACGTAGAAAGGGCCCTCCTATTGCGGATAGAGTTCTGAATATAATTAGCCGTTAATAAAATTTATTATATTTAATAGTATTATATTATTAAAATAGTACTTAGGAGAATTAATACGTTTCTTATTGGCGTTATCCTCGTAACGCTCTTAAATTTAATAGGTTTATTAGATGACGAAGTTCTAGATCTACTAAAAGCAATCCACTAATTTAAATACTTTATAATATTTTTTAAATTAAGCCGGCGATAGATCCGGGGGGGGGGGGGGGGGGGGGCGAGGGGGTAATATACGAGGTTCGGTGCCTATACGAGGGTAGTAATTATAATTAATAAAGAAAAGGGAAACGTTTATTATTAATAATATAATGTTATTACTAGTAAATTCTACAATAAGTAACTATTTTACCTAATTTATTTGTACTTAATTAATGTAGAGCCGTAAGAATTATTCCTTTTTCAATATTAATTTATTCGGTCTAAACGTTAATTTAGGGGTAGAAAACGGAAATTAATTTGCGAATAATCGATAATCTTTTATATAAGGTCAATTAAAAACGTAATACGAATTAAATATCCCTATTAGATAGAATACTATTAGGTAAGCTATAAATCGAATAAATGCGGTCGATAAAGTAGTTAGTAAATTCTCCTACCTTTAGAGTTATAATAAGAATATAATATTTTATTTTAATCAAACGGTTGATAATAATAGCAATATATTTAAAGGTCTAACCGAAATAGGTGTTTCCCGGTAGCGGAATAATATAATCAATAGATACGTTTCTCTATATTATTAATAATATAGCTATAGGTTCAAAATACTTAACGGAACCGCGTTTAAATAATTTTATCTTCGCATAGGAGAGGCAGCCTTTATAAAAAGTCTTTATATTATTATATATCCCCTCTTAATAGAATTTACGTTATTAAAATTTATACGTAACATCGTAATTAGGGTAACCCGCGCTAGGGGAATTATATTAACGACTAATTAGCTAGAATTAGAATTCCTTATTATAGGGGTTGATAATTACTTTATTGTACTATTTCGTAATACCGTTTACGATGTAATATTCGGAGAAAATATGATAAAAAACCCTTTTAATAATTAGTAGTTACTAGCGTTGTATTTTATTTATTAAGTAAGAGACGAATTCTTATAAGAAAATAAATATTTTATAGTTAATGCGGATTAAATCATCGGTAAATTTATTATTGAGGTCGTTTATATTTAATAAATATAAGGAGAAACCTGCCGCGGGGTCTTCTTTAAAGAGACAGCCGTTTTCAAATTACGAAGGGTCTAAAAGCGGGCGTTTTCTAGCCGTAAAATTATCGTCTTCTACATCGTTAGGACGGTCGTTTAGTTTCCGGCTCAACGCGTCCGGGCGGAGGTTTTTAAAACCTAGTATATATTTAATTGAAAAATTAAACTAGGATAGGAACTAGGACTACTATATATAACGTTAGGTAAGCTATTCATTAATTATAAAAATTTATAGATTTTTATAGTCCGTTAAGATATTAAAAGGTTATTGGGTGCCCTCGAATTCTAGCTTCTATTCTTCTAGTGCCTTAATAATAGCGAGGAAATCTTTATCGTAAATATTATAATTATACTCTTGCGAAGAATATTTAGCTAAAAAGTAGGCGACTAGGTATAGCACTCCATTATCCCTATATTAGGATAGGGTACCGCCCGCAACCTAATTTAAAGCATCAGTTTTAATAATAATCTTTTTAGTCTAATCGTAAATCCTTAGAATGGAGCATTTTATAAAAGCTTCCTTTAATATATTAAAGGCCTACTAAGAAGTATTAGTCCAAATCTAAGCGGCGTCCTTTTTAGTAAATTCGTATAATGTAACGGGTCTACACGAGAAAAGCATAGCGTACAGTCATATGGTTGAAATGCTATATTTGATAAGGAGAGCAAGAAGAAAGATTGTATTAGAAGGGTGTAGTCGAAAGAAGGTTTTGTGTAACCAGCGCTAAGACTGTACGAGCCAGGCAAGTATATAGGTCTAGCCAATTAGAAGGCTCGTATCCCTATCGATAAAGTAGGATACGGTTTAGTAATAGCCAAGTTTAACCTTTAGGTTCTAGCCCTATAAAATTACCCCCTTGCTCCCCCTTGGGAGCGTGGTCTACCATATAGAATCTATCGTAGCTAAATATACGAAAATGATTAAAATCTAGTATAACCGCACCTAACTAAATACTTATCTAAACGGGGAAGAAATCAATAATACTAAGAAAAATATCTATACTAAGCCCCCAAACAAACGCTATATAACTCTTCGAATTGGGTAATAAAGGCTGTTATAGATTCCCTAAAGCTAGACTTTTAACGTAATTAGTAAAGTTCTTAATTAATTCGTTTAATAACGTTAGGATCCTTATATATAAAACGGAGTTTATTAATAAATTTATAAGGAAACCGAAGAAAAGCGGTAAAAGTAACGAATAGTTTTTTAATAGCGGGCGATAGGTAAGCGAATAAATAGTAAAATTGCGCTTTTAAATCGCTAATAGCGGGGCTATCTATGTGAAGTTTAGTTTGCGCGCTTAAAACCTAAGTTTCGAATTCTTTTTATTCTTTAAAAAATTTTGAAAATAGGGGAAGACTAGTTTACGAAATAGCGAATCGAAAAGAGAAGAGGCCGGCTAAGCGGCGTAAAAATTAGAGATTTCGAAAATCAATTATTTAATAAAGGAAGTAAATTATCGTCATCGTTCTTAAGAATTTGTCGACTAAGCGATTTGAGAGAATGGTTATTATTAAAATATTATAGAGGGTAATGGGGAGAGAGACTCTTTAGCGGTACCTACGAAAGAAGAGCAACGGTATTAATTTAAAAAGAGGGTTAAATATAATATAGCGGGTCTGTACGAAAAAAGTACAGCGTAGAATTATATAATTAAAATGTTATATTTAATAAGGAGAGTAAGAAGGAAGATTGTATTAGAAGGGTGTAGTTGAAAGAGGGTTTTGTATAACCAACACTAAGACCGTACGGGCTAAGTAAGTATATGGGTTTAGCTAATTAGAAGGCTCGCATCTCTATCAATAAGGTAGAATACGGCTTGGCAATAGCCAAGCTTAACCCCTATGTTCTAGCCCTATGATATATAATAAGGTTGCTATCGTTAAAAAATCTTATATAAAACGCTAGTAGAAGTTTACGAAACCTAAGAAAGATTGTAGGGACTTCTTAAATTTTAGAACCGCCTATTTAGTAATAGCCTTAACCCTTTCTAGATTTATCTCAATACTTCCCGGAGTAATAATTTAATTTAAATATTTTGTACATATTATATAGAATTCGTATTTATTAATATCGACGCTAAGGTCGGCCTATATTAGGTAATCGAAGATATTGTTAACGTATCGCTCGTAGTCTTTAATATTATTAGAATAAATAAAGACGTTATCGAAATAAACAGTCGTATAAACGTCGAAAATATTATATAAAATATTATTAATATAATTTTAGAAAACGCTTAATATACTTTATAAACTTAACGGTATAATTAGGGATTCGAATAAGCTAAACCGTATAATAAAAATAATTAACTATTCGTAGCCTTATTTAATACGAATATGGTTAAAAGTAATAGTAACGTCGAATTTAATAAAAATCTTAACCCGGCAAATAATATCGAAAGTCTCCTTAATTAGCAATGATAGATAGCAGGACTTTAAAATTATATTATTAATACCTTTATAATCGATATAAATGTAAATTCCGCCTCCTAACTTCTTAATAAGCAAAATTAAAAAAGAAGCTTCGAATTAGGATAGCCGGATGAACTTTTTAGTTAAGTTATTGTTAATCTATTTTCTAATAATATTTAATTTATTAGGGTTAAATAGGTAGCTTCGAACCGTTAGCGGGGTAATTCTAAAGTGGAATTCGATTTTAAAATTATAAGAATATGTCAGGGGTAATATTTCGGCGCCCTCCTATTTGAATATTTTAATGTAGTACTAATATTAAAAGGGGAGTTTTATTTTAATTTATTTATCAGTTTTTGGTAGTTTGTCGGCTTTTTTATAAAATTTTATTACGTCTTCGGATATAATTTTATTTAGGGATACACTATTTATTGCGAAATATTCGTTAAT